TAAGAGAGAGAGAGAGAGAGCGTGAGCAGGGGAGGGTCAGAGAGAGAGGGAGTCACAGACTCTGAAACAGGCTCCAGGCTCCGAGCTGGCAGTCAGCACAGAGCCCGACGCGGGGCTCGAACCCACGAATCGTGAGATTATGACCTAAGCGAAAGTCGGATGCCCAACCAACTAAGCCACCCAGGCGCCCCCTTAAAATTTTTTTTTAAATGTTTTTTATTTATTTATGAGAGAGAGAGAGAGAGAGAGACAATGTGAGCACGAGGGGGTGAGAGAGAGAGGGAGACACAGAATCTGAAACAGGCTCCAGGCTCTGAGCTAGCTGTCAGCACAGAGCCCAACACGGGGCTTGAACCCACGAACCGTGAGATCATAACCTGAGCTGAAGTCAGACGCTTAACCAACTGAGCCACCCAGGCACCCCTGTTTTGAAGTAATTTAGATCTGAATTATCAGGTTAAAATAATAACGGTAAGAGAGAAATGCAGAACCTAAGCTAATATCTATATTGTTCAGGCCTATGTGTCATGTACCTCCAAATACACAGATCACTGAGGAAAGAGAACAGAGGGGTCGGTAGTGGGGTGAGTTACCGACTTTGGCAGCTATGAGATTCATACAGGCATAACTTATAGAATTTATATCTGAAATAATATTTTTACCATGTGTTTGAGTATGTTTGTCATCATAATAACCCTGTTTGTTCAAACTTAAGATAAACGTTTTCACTTGAAACATGAAAACATTGGTTTCCCGTAGATGCTGGATCAGAGAGGTACACCTTCAGTTTTACCATTCGGGACTCCCCAGCACATTTTGTAAATGCAGCATCCTGGGGCAGTGAAGGCTATATCAGATCCCTTTCTGACAGCTTTAGGATTGGAGAGTGCGGTGAGTGGGCATTGGTTCTTAAACCCTTTCTGTTAGAGTATTATTCCTGTGAAGTGTTTGAGGGAGTCAAAATAAGACACGATTCATAATTCTTTTTTTTTTTTTAATTTTTTTAATGTTTTATTTCTAGGAGAGAGAGACAGCGTGAGCAGGGGAGGGTCAGAGAGAGAGGGAGTCACAGACTCTGAAACAGGCTCCAGGCTCCGAGCTGGCAGTCAGCACAGAGCCCGATGCGGGGCTCAAACCCACGAATCGTGAGATCATGACCTAAGCGAAAGTCAGACGCTTAACTGACTAAGCCACCCAGGCACCCCAATATTTGAATTTTTAATAGGACTTTAAGAAGCTTTACTTTCAGATTCAAATACTAAATCTTTGGTATCCTTTACCCATCGCAGGATCCCTCTGGTGGTACAATGTCCTGTAATAAAAAACAAAGATTCTGAAAACATATTTGGATTCAAATCCTAGTTCCAGCATTTACTTACATCATGGCTTTGAGAACATTTTTTTTTTTTTTTTTTTTTACAAATAGTTTATTGTCAAATTAGTTTCTACATAACACTCAGTGCTCATCCCCAAAGTGCCCTCCTTCATGCCCATCTCCCCCTCCCCCCCACATCCATCAGTCCTCAGTTTTTGTCAGCATTCAAGAGTCTCTCATGGTTTGCCTCTCTCCCTTTCCCCCACCATTTCCGCCCTTCTTCTCCCCCTTGGTCCTCCGTCAAGTTCCTCCTAATCCTCCTATACGTGCAAACATATGATATTTGTCCTTCTCTGCCTGACTTATTTCGCTCAGCATAACACCCTCAAGGTCCATCCATGTTGCTACACATGGCCAGATTTCATTGTTTCTCATTGCCATGTAGTATTCCATGGTATAGATAAACCACATCTTCTTGATCCATTCATCTGTTGATGGACACTTAGGCTCTTTCCATGTTTTAGCTATTGTGGAGAGTGCTGCTGTGAACATTGGGGTACATGTGCTCCTATGCCTCAGCATTTCTGCATCCCTTGGGTAAATTCCTAGCAGTGCTATTGCTGGGTCATAAGGGAGTTCTATTGTTAGTTTCCTGAGGAACCTCCACACTGTTTTCCAGAGGGGCTGTACCAGTTTACATTCCCACCAACAGTGCAGGAGGGTGCCCGTTTCTCCACATCCTCGCCAGCATCTAGAGTTCTCTGATTTGCTCATTTTAGCCACTCTGACTGGCGTGAGGTGGTATCTCAGTGTGGTTTTGATTTGTATTTCCCTGATGAGGAGGGAGGCTGAGCATCGTTTCATGTGTCTGTTGGCCATCTGGATGTCCTCTTTGGAGAAGTGTCTGTTCATGTCTTCTGCCCATTTCTTCACTGGGTTGTTTGTTTTTCGGGCGTGGAGTTTGGTGAGTTCCTTATAGATTCTGGATATTAACCCTTTATCTGATATGTCATTTGCAACTATCTTTTCCCATTCCGTTGGTTGCCTATTAATTTTCTGGGTTGTTTCCTTAGCTGTGCAGAAGCTTTTAATCTTGATGAGGTCCCAACAGTTTATTTTTGCTCTCGATTCCCTTGCTTTTGGGGATGTGTCAAGTAAGAAGTTGCTGCGGTGGAGGTCAAGGAGGTTGTTTCCTGCTTTCTCCTCTAGGGTGTTGATAGTTTCCTGTCTCACGTTCAGGTCCTTTATCCATTTTGAATTGATTTTTGTGCATGGTGTGAGAAAATGATCTAGTTTCATTCTTCTGCATGTTGCTGTCCAGTTCTCCCAACACCATCTGTTAAAAAGGCTGTCTTTTTTCCATTGGATATTCTTTCCTGCTTTGTCAAAGATCAGTTGGCTGTATACTTTTGGGTCCACTTCTGAGTTCTCAATTCTGTTCCATTGGTCTATGGGTCTGTTTTTGTGCCAATACTGTCTTGAGGATGACAGCTTTGTAGTAGAGGCTGAAGTCTGGGATGGTGATACCTCCCGTTTTGGTTTTATTTTTCAGTATTACTTTGGCTATTCGGGGTCTTTTGTGGTTCCATACAAATTTTTGGATAGTTTGTTCTAGTTTTGAGAAGTATGCTGGTGCAATTTTGATTGGAATTGCATTGAATGTGTAGAGTGCTTTAGGTAGTAATGACATCTTAACTATATTTATTCTTCCTATCCATGAGCATGGAATGTTTTTCCATTTCTTTGTGTCTTCTTCAATTTCCTTCATAAGTTTTCTATAGTTTTCATCATACAGATCTCTTGTATCCTTGGTTAGGTTTATTCCGAGGTATTTTATGGTTTTTTGTGCAATTGTGAAGGGGATCAGTTTCTTGATTTCTCTTTCTGTTGCTTCATCATTGTTGTATAAAAATGCAACCGATTTCTGTACGTTGATTTTGTACCCTGCAACTTGGCTGAATTCTTGGATCAGTTCTAGTAGGCTTCTGGTGGAGTCTGTCGGGTTTTCGATGTAGAGTATCATGTCATCTGCGAAGAGTGAAAGTTTGACTTCCTCTTTGCCAATTCTGATGCCTTTGATTTCCTTTTGTTGTCTGATGGCTGATGCTAGGACTTCCAGCACTATGTTAAACAACAGTGGTGAGAGTGGACATCCCTGTCGTGTTCCTGATCTCAGGGGGAAAGCTCTCAGTTTTTCCCCGTTGAGGATGATGTTAGCTGAAGGCTTCTCATAGATGGCTTTGATGATGTTTAAGTAGGTTCCTTCTATCCCAACTTTCTCGAGAGTCTTTATTAAGAAGGGATGCTGTATTTTGTCAAATGCTTTTTCTGCATCTATTGACAGGATCATATGGTTTTTATCTTTTCTTTTATTGATATGATGGATCACATTGATTGATTTGCGAATGTTGAACCAGCCCTGTAACCCAGGAATGAATCCCACTTGATCTTGGTGGATGATTCTTTTGATATGCTGCTGGATTCGATTTGCAAGGATCTTGTTGAGAATTTTTGCATCCGTATTCATCAAGGATATTGGCCTATAGTTCTCTTTTTTTGTTGGATCTCTGTCTGGCTTGGGAATCAGAGTGATGCTGGCTTCATAAAATGAGTCCGGGAGTTTTCCTTCGACTTCTATTTTTTGGAATAGCTTGAGAAGAATTGGGATTAATTCTGTTTTAAATGTCTGGTAGAATTCCCCAGGGAAACCATCAGGTCCAGGGCTCTTATTTGTTGGGAGATTTTTGATCACTGATTCGATTTCTTCACTCGTTATGGGTCTGTTTAGGTTTTCTATTTCTTCCCGTGTGAATTTTGGTAGTGAGTGTGTGTTTAGGAATTTGTCCATTTCTTCTAAGTTGTCCAATTTGTTGGCATACAATTTTTCATAGTATTCCCTGATAATTGCTTGTATTTCTGAGGGGTTGGTTGTAATAAGTCCATTTTCGTTCATAATTTTGTCTATTTGGGTGCTCTCTCTTTTCTTTTTGATAAGCCTGGCTAGAGGTTTGTCAATTTTGTTTACTTTTTCAAAAAACCAACTCTTGGTTTCATTGATCTGTTCAATTGTTTCTTTGGTCTCTATGTTGTTTATTTCTGCTCTAATTTTTACTATTTCTCTTCTTCTACTGGGTTTAGGGCGTTCTTGTTGCTCTGCCTTTGAGAACATTTTTTAACCTTGTTGAGCCTCAACTATGAATTAGTGCCCCCTAGATTCTTGTGAGTGTTAAATGAGCTGGTGTGTCTTGGGGTAAAGCGTAGAGCTTTATCATCCAGTGGGTGGCAGCTCTGGCCACGCTTGGGAGACGAGACAATGTGTATACCAGCTCTCTTTATACGAGCGAGCTCCTCTCCTGTGCCGCGGCCTCAGGTGGGGCTCTGCCTGTGCCTGTTACTTAGCACCTACTCACATGTGTACTGCCGGCTCCTAGGAAGTGGCAGAGCCGTGTGTAGTGTCTCTGTAACTGAATAAGAACACATGGGCCACGAAGGCAGTACAGTTTGAGACATTTCTTGGAGGAATGCCAGTACGTTAGCTATATGCAGCTAAAGACATATTTTGGTATTAAACCATATGTTGATGGTTGTGAGGATGAATGAGATAAGGGATTTTAAAAGCATTAAGCTTGATGATAATTATAAATCTAAGTAGGATCTTAGTGTGGCGGAGTGAAAAGATTATAGATTTTTGAATTAACAATTGTAAGTCTAGCTCTACTACTTTCTGGATATAAAACTAAGACAGTTATTTAACCTCTGTGAGCTTCTTCGTTTGTAAAAAGGGATAATCAGGGAATGGTTGCAAGAGGAATTTGCAAAACAGAGCACAAAAAGGTCTAATATAGACCATAAGGAAACAGAAACCCTAAAATGTTAAGTCATAAAGCTGTTAAGGTGTAGAACTGAAACCAGAAGCTGGATTTTGCATTGCTCGTTCTGCCCCACGGCTGTTGTTTCCCAAGGCAACCGTGAATTGGGTGAAGTTGAATTAAAGTATATGTTTTATGGAAGGGCAACTCATGACCACATCACATGTTCAATGTAACTAGTCAATAAAGCAATATTAATTCAGGTCATATGTTGGGATTTAAACAGAAAGCCAAAGAAACGTCATCTGGGATCAAACTGATGGTCAAGCCATCTGTGTCTGGTGACACGAGAAAAGGACTATGAAGGATATGTACCCCTGACTCGGTGACTCGGTGACTCGGAAGTTAGCAATAACAGTGTAATGTTCGTTGTTACCTACACTTGCGTTTTTATTTATCTAGTTAGTCTTTTGTAATAGTATCTCTTCCTTCTCTTGTAGTGATAATTGAAAATCCTCTGATCCAAAGAAAGGAATTAGAAAGAGAAGAAAAATTCAGCCCAGCAACTCCTGGGTAAATATTCCAGCGCCGAGTCAACACCCTTGTGCCAGGGTGGCCGCCATTGCTCAGTGCCTGTGGGTCAGGTTAGCAGAGAGCTTCTTGAGGGATGTGATTCGATTTGAAAATTAGGAGTTTAATTGTTCTTCACGATATTTACCTTTGATTGTGAAATAATTTACGATGATACAGGAATACGTGAAAAGTGGCTGTCTTTATTACTTTTGCTCTCATTCATAGACAAATTTGACTCTAGTCGCATTAAAGCTGAACAATGAGAAGGAAAGATAAATCTTTTAAGTCCTGTATATGTGTCACAGCAGGTATACCTCTGCCTCCATGCCTTCATCTTTGTCCATGTTCCCTGGGAGCATTTTCCTGCAGGTGGTCGCTCTCAGGAGCGGCCTGTAACCATGGGGTCAGGGTAGAGCAGAGAGGCGAGCGTGGCCAGAGCCAGGAGGGAGCTCTGGAGCACAAGTGGCTCCCCTGAAGGAAGGGGAGTGGGCCTCGGGCTCTGTCGTCAGAAGCCACTGGCTGCAGCCCACTCCCCGCTGCTGGCATTTCTGACGGAGAGCATTTCAGAGCAAGGGGAGGCTGGTACAGGGCTCTGAGTGGGACAGAGTCTCCACTACACGCACACCTTCCCACCTTCCGTTCTGTCCTCATCGGATTCCACACCCCAGGTCTCGTTTCTGTGCAGCCACACGGGTTTCTGTCCACTTTCTGAACACCCTGGGCTCTGTCTGCACCGACAGCGCATGCACTTCACTTCCCTCCGCACAGAGCAGTCTCCTGCCATCTGCTGTGACTGTTTACTTCTTCTCCTCAGTGAAGTGTCCGCTCAAATGCCACCTCCTTAGGACTTCTCCATTTATTCTGTGTGTTAGCGGCCCTTCCCGCCCTCACTAGGGCCTTGCCCTGTGCTGTTACCTGATTAATTGTTCTGTCCCCCATTCACCCCTGTGAGCTCCATGAGATCAGAAGTCTGTCTCCTCACCACTGTATTCCCTGTGCCTAGACGAGGGTCTGGCACGTAATAGCTCTCGGCAGGTATTTATGGAATGAAAGGATGACTGGATGGAGGGAGGGTCAGGAGGAAGAGCATTTTTGGTAGAGGGAATAAGCATGAAACTGCCCGGCCTTTTCTAGAAGAGGTAACAGTAGGCTGAATCATATAAAACTGTGGATGTTTGACTATATTTGGTCTAAAAAGCAGTGCAGGTGCAGGCATACGTGTCACTCTCATAGTCTAGTATCTGCTATGGCTGGAATACAGGGCAAGCAGCGTGGGGGAGGCAGTGAGAGGGAAAGCTCGGGAGAGGAGCAGCCCTGCGTGCCCTACCAACTTCATTCTCTGGTGACAGCTAGCCCAGGAGGCCTTCGTGCTGGGGAAGAATGTGTTCATATTTGTGGCTGAGGAACATCACTTGAGCTACCTGAGCGGGGAAGGAAGCTTAGGAGACAAGGCAGTAGTCTGGGTGAGAAGTGATGAGGTAAAACCCTGAAGAAGTAGGGGTGTGTGGAGGAGGGCCTGGGTTAGAGGCCTGGAAAAAGGCTCCAGGAGGGGACCTGATTGGCTGGATGGGGAGAGCACCTCAATTCAAGTTCAGTACGTAGATGTTGGGCATCTACTCCACACAGAGCATCATAGGAGGAAGTCTGCGCACGGTCCTGATGCAGCCAGGGCAGGGGGTGTCGAGAGATGGAAATGACGGGATACCCTTACCCCAGCATTTCAGAGTGCTTTTATATTCCTGTTTCATAGTGAACAAAATAGACGTTCAGGTCAGAAACTTGTATGCTTGGAACTCAGGCTCAGATTGGTCATCAGAACATTTCCTTAATGAAAATACATTTAGACAAAAAATATTGTGCAATGTTTTTCATTGTTTCTGAGAGTATAAATTTTCTTAATATAGTCTGCATCACAACCAGAAAGATAATTTAATGTGCACCTGGAAATGTTTTTCTATTAGAAAGTCACTTGATATTAACTACTTGTGGTTTTTGTTTGTTTACAATTTAGCAGCTGTAAACTATTGCTCAGTGAGAATCACTCCACTGTAAAAGTTTGTTCCAGTTGTGAAGTGGACACCAAGCTCCTTGCTCTGATATACTTACCTATTAAAGAGTCTCGTGATTACTATTCACTGGGTGACATTGTTGCGAATGGACACAGTCTAGATGGGAGGATTATTAACGTGCTTGCAGCTGTGAAGTCGGTGAGTGAAAGCCTCAGTAAAGCCGACCTCCCTTTGGCGGGGAGTTCTAGCACTGTATTTCTGTTTGGGAAATATTAACCAGTTGGAGTAAATTTTCTTGATCCTTAGTCAGTTGAATTAAGAAAATGACACCAGTTCTCATCAACGTCAGAGTAGCATTTTATCTGTGAATGAGCAGCATAATAAAATCATATTCAAATGTTAAATGCAGCACACTCATAAATGGTCTACTAACTACACGAGAGCTTTTCATCCTTTGGTTAAACAAAGATGTGGATGGAAAGGGTAAATTCATTGACTTGAAGATCTGCAAGAAGTTTCTTGAAGGAGTGGAAGTTTGAAAACTCGTGCATTCCACTCGTGTGTGTGCTCTTGGTATCCTGAGATGGAGGTGAGAATATCCACTGTGCGGTCAGCCGGTAACCTAATACAGGCATCGTGGGGTGCTGGGGAGCCCCTCACCAGAGGCACGTCATCATCATCTCTCTCTCATAGTTGCCGCAGCAAGTTTCAAACTCTCTTGGACAGACTAGTCACTTGGCAGACATTTAGAGATCTGAAAAGTAAGGTTTCAGGGCGCCTGGGTGGCTCAGTTAAGTGTCTGACTCTTGATCTTAGCTCAGGTCTTGATCTCATGGTCATGAGTTCAAGCCACTCTGTGCTGGGTGTGAAGCCTACCAAAAAAAAAAAAAAAAGTTTCACCAAAAAAAAAAAAACTACACATGAAGAAGATTAAAGGGACAATACCAATTCCTCAGGTATGTAATGATGATAGTCCAAGACTGTGTGTGTATGTGTGTGTATATAGACTTGCGTCCTTGCAGATAACCTTGTAAGTAATTGCTCATTGCTTTTCCGTATTAAATGATAGGGTTGACTCTCCTCATTGACAGGCTTGTGATGGTGAAGTCTGCTTTGTTTTCCACTCTAGCCCCAGCTGAGCACAGCGCCTGCCCAGAGTGAGCACTCAATATTATTCGGAACAGAGGAATAAATACCCTACATGAAAATATTGAAAAATAAGAGCAGTGCCTGGGTGGCTCAGTCAGTTAAGCATCTGACTTTTGCTCAGGTCATGATCTCACAGCTCCTGAGTTTAAGCCCTGAGTCAGGCTCTATGCTGACAGCTCAGAGCCTGGAGCCTGCTTTGGATTCTGTCTCCCTGTCTCTCTGTCCTTGCGCAGCTCACACTCGGAACAAATAAACATTTAAAAAATAGGAGAAATCCCTTTCTGGGCAATTTAGCTTATTTAAAATTTTTTAAGTATTTATTTTTGAGAGAGAGAGAGAAAGTGGGGAAGGGACAGAGAAAGAGAGGGAAACACAGAATCCAAAGCAGGCTTCAGGCTCTGAGCTGTCAGCATAGAGCCTGACTCAGGGCTTAAACTCAGGAGCTGTGAGATCATGACCTGAGCCAAAGTCAGACACTTAACCGACTGAGCCACCCAGGCGCACCTGAGCAATTTAGCTCCTTACGTAAAGGCAAAATATGATATCAGGTTCCCTGCAATGCCATTATATTACAATGTAATAAGAGTTCTCTAAAACTCGGTTATCGAGTATAAGCAGAAGCTGTTTAACCACCGTGAGTCTGGTACCCTCTTTCCAAAGAAGACATTACTTCTTTGTTTTCCCATATCTTCTACCATTTTGCTTCCATCCCTCTTACATTTCCATTTCTTCACATTTTTGTTTAACCCTTTCTCTCTTTTTTCATACCTCTCTCTCTTCACTTTAGAATCCTTTTCCTATTATTCTCTTGTGTGCTGTGGTATGGTGGACCTCTGTCAGGCTCTGGCTGTCCTTCCTTTCCTCCGACTTTCCTTCTAGATCCTGCTCTGCTGCTGGCAGCTGTGTCTTTCTTCTGCTCCTTCCCATGGAGCTCAGCCCTGCCAGGACATGAGTGGTGACAGTAGCATAAGGGACAGCCAGCCGACTGCCCCTGCTTGGGTCACTGCTCTGTGGCTGTCAGAGGGGCCTGCTCTTCCTTTTGAGAACTCCCTGGGGGGACAGAAGGGCCCCTGAGTTTACCTCCACTTCCATGATCTTCTTATCCCCACTGTGGCTCAAACCAGATGGTACGTTAAAGTGCCCGCCCCTACGTCCCTCCTCTGGTCCTCACCACCTTATCCCCGTGGAGGCGGCAAAGAAGGCACTGCTATCATCCTGTACTAGCAAGGAGAGGTGCTGCGGCCTTGGAGGACCGAGTCCATCTAGTCACATAGACTCCATACCAGGCTCTGAGCCAAGCTGTGGGGATCTTAGGGGGCTGAAAACACACCCTCTAACCTCAGTGAGTCCCCCAAGATGCCCCCCAGGGGCTTGTCTCGGAGCACTGTTTTTGACATGTTGAGAAGACCCAGAGTCTTTTTTTTTTTTTAAGACATTTCTTTTTTTTAATGTTTTATTTATTTCTAGGAGAGAGAGAGAGAGACAGCGTGAGCAGGGGAGGGTCAGAGAGAGAGGGAGTCACAGACTGAAACAGGCTCCAGGCTCTGAGCTGGCAGTCAGCACAGAGCCCGACGCAGGGCTCGAACCTACGAACCACGAGATCATGACCTAAGCGAAAGTCGGACGCTTAACCGACTAAGCCACCCAGGCGCCCCAAGAAGACCCAAGAGTCTTAAAGCACATTATTTCTGTACCTCTCCAATCGAAGTGTGTAACTTACAGCTTCAGCTAAATATACCTAGCTTAGAGAAAAGATGCTTAAAATTTTTTTAAAGTTTTATTTATTTTTGAGGGAGGGAGAGGGAAGGGCAGAGGGTGGGAGACACAGAATCTGAAGCAGGCTTCAGGCTCTCTGTCATCACAGAGCCTGATGCGGAGCTCGAACTCCCAAATGGTGAGATCATGACCTGAATCCAAGTCGGACATTTAACCAACTGGGTCACCGAGGAGCCCCAGAAGATACTTTTTAAAAATGTTTGTTTAGGGGCACCTGTTGTTTAGTGGCTCAGTCAGTTAAGTGTCCGACTTTGGTTCAGGTCATGATCTCATGGTTCATGGGTTTGAGCCCCGTGTTGGGCACTGTGATGACAGCCAGCTCAGAGCCTGGAGCCTGTTTCAGATACTATATCTCCCTCTCTCTCTGACCCTCCCGTGCTGTCTCTCTCTCTCTCTCTCAGAAATAAGTAAAACATAAAAAATTTTTTAAAAATGTGTGTGTGTGTTGTATGTGAGAGAAAGAGAAAGAGGGAAAGAGAAAGAGAGAAAGAGAGAGAGAGAGAGAGAGAGAGAGAGAATGAATCCCAAGCAGGCTGCACTCTGTCAGCCTGGATCTAAAGAACTGTGAGATCAGGACCAGAGCTGAAATCAAGAGTTGGACACTTACCCAACAGAGCCACTTAGGCGCCCCCTAGACAGAAGATGCTTTTAAAAGCACCAAATATATAGTAGTGATTCTTTCTATTTCGATATTTTTAATTTGATGTTTGAAAGATAAAGATTTGAATATCTCCCTTAACAAACATTTAAGTACCTCTACAACTATAGGTGAAGAATAACAATTTCCTTCAATCCCTAAGGTTGGAGAGCCAAAGTACTTTACAACTTCAGACCGAAGAAAAGGCCAGAGGTGTGAGGTGAAACTCTATGACGAGACGGAGTCTTCCTTTACAATGATATGGTAACCTCCCACATCTGTTCCGAACTGTGAAATCCTGCTATTATCACCAAGACAGAATGCTTCTGTTTCACCAAAAAGATGATGGATTTCATAGTAGGAGAGGAGTCATGATTAGAGAGAAATGATTATTAAAAAGGAAACTTTGCTCTTGTATATGGATTTGTTACAGACTGTGCTGTAAGATGACCTTAAAATGAGATCTTTAGACAGAATGGGATTGTTTAAATGTACTCCACGTGACTGGTTCATTCTTGTTCTCTGCTTTATCACAAACAGTGATTTATTTGGTCCCAATGGTAATAAACCAGCCAGGTTTTCCCCGGTTGTCTGGGTGGCATCCCGGAGTCAGGCCATGGGAAGATGGTAGAAAAGCAAGTGTTGTCCCAGGCTGCACCCTGAAGCCCCACAGGGTAGGACATGGTGTTGTCTAGATTCCCAATGCCTGGGCACCAAAGAAAACACTTAATTTGAAACAGACCTTCAACCCATCAAGTCCCCTGAGCAGTGTATCCAATGTGGGTGCCCTCCCTTAATGGTGTGACAGAGTAACTTTAAAGGCTTTCTACTTGTAGTCACTGATTCTAACCAGCCTAGAGTGACCTAAATAGTGGGCAAAGAGGGCATTGATGGGCAGAAGTTGTTAAAGACGAATAGCGCCAAAGGAATGATTTGTCACACAGACGTTAAATGCTTTGTGAAATCGACTGTGTATCTTGCAAAACGCAGGAGAAGCCAGCACCCTGAACTTGTGCCTTGATAACTTGGGGGAATTGGGAATTACCAAATTTATTTTGGTAAATAAAGTGGCCACTGCCAGTTTTTCCTAATATATTTGATTTTTGCTTCTTATTAAAAATATGCAGCTGGGATAATGAATCTATTCTAGTTGCCCAAAGCTGGATGCCACGAGAAACAGGTATGATACCATGATGATTGTGTTCATTATTTGTCATTTTTATACTCCCCCCACACAGATAATAATTTTAAAATGGCTTTTCCCCCTAAACAGTAATATTTGCCTCAGACGTAAGAATAAATTTTGACAAATTTCGGAACTGCATGACAGCAACGGTCATCTCAAAAACCATTATTACAACTAATCCAGGTAAAAGGCTATCTGAAATTTTATATCCATTTGGAAAGGACTGTATCACATTTTAGTATATTTAAGGATGAAAACAATGCTTGGCTTTCATTTGAATTAAAAGGGAAAACTGCTTTATATGCTTTACATTTCTATTTCTTAAACTTGCAGTGAGCTATATGTTTGCTAGCTTTACTAAAGAAATATGAAAAACCAGATTCGTTTTTATTTATTTAAAAATTTTTAACATTTATTCATTTTTGAGAGACAGAGAGCAAGTGGGGGAGGGGCAGAGAGTGGGAGACAGAATCTGAAACAGGCCTCAGGCTCTGTGCTGACAGCTCAGAGCCTGACGCGGGGCTCGAACCCACAAACAGTGAGATCATGACCTGAGCTGAAGTCGGACGCTTAACCAATGGAGCCACTCAGGTGCCCCCAGATTCATTTTTAAAGTATCATCACTTTTAATGAGTTTTGAGAGATCAATGCTATTGATTGGATAATCTAAATTTCTATTTTAAAAAATAAATTCAGTTTTACTACATTCAATAATTTAGTACTGGAGCATTGAGAACATATACATAGTATCATTAGTTATAACATGAATGAAATACCCATAAGGCCCACAGGAGTGCTGGTTGAAAGCAGTTACAGCTTATTCCAGCACGCCATCTGGGGAGCGGGGTCTGGGGAGACATAAGGGGTCGGCGCCTTTAAGGGTCCTCAGAGTGCTTTGTACTGCAGACAGAATGACTCGCCCAGCCACAGGGATGGAATGGCCCTTCACAGTCTCAGGAAGATGTGAATACGGTAGTGTTGCATTTCGAACAGCAGCTCACTCTGCTGGTCACTAACAGAGCTTCAACACAGAGTGAGCATTATAAAGAGTTTTATGCCTTGACAAACCGTTATCAGAATTTTTTAAAGTGTGACCTAAAATGACAAGACTCTGTTTTCTACATAAGTGCACTAGATCTTGCACATCTGCCCAGGAACACCATGTCCCTGAAAGTGGCGTCGTGGAAGGTGACGTGATGGCACTGGCTTGCCTTCGTTGAAATCTCTGCTGCACACATGCTGTGTGCTGGGCATTCTCCTGGGGTCCAGTGACAAAATATGAATGTCTCTGCCCGAGTGACGCTCACATTCTAGCAGGAGAGACAGTTGAGAAACAACAAAGATAACACATCTGTGGTTTATGAAGTATTTAAGAAGAAAAAGAGGAAAGGGGTCCGGAGGGTCCAGAGTGACATGGTGTGTATAGGGCAGGTTGCACTTTACAGAGGGCGGTCAGGTAGGCCTCTTTGGGAAGGTGACATGTGAGCGAAGACATGATGAGGCGGTGAGGGCGTTAACCACGGGAAAGAGCGCCGGCAGAAGGAACAGCCAGTGCAAAGGTCCAGAGGCTGGAGCGTGCCTGCTTGTGGGCAGAACAGCAAGGAGGTCAGTGTGGCTGCCGCTGACGGAGCACGGGCAGGAGGAGGTGTCAAGGTCAGAGGGGAGAGGATGGGTCTCAGGAAGTATTACAGGTAAGTGAGAGGCCGCAGGAAAGGGAGACCAGGTCAGGACTTGGAGCAGAGTAGTGGCGTTTTCCATGCACTGGAAGGATCGCTCTAGCTGCTTTTTGTAAATCGATGGTGACACAACCGTGATCTATTGTCAACATTTAGGACAAAACTGGCAATCTTCAGTTCCTTCTTATTTTTTATTTTTTGAGGGGAGTATTATGGTTTATTATTTTTAATAATTTATCAATATTAATAGTTTTAATGATATTATATAGAGTAATGTCTATGATTAAAAAATCTCCATCCTTTAAGGGTAAATTAGGCCTGGGAAAATTTTTAAAAGACATTTGGGGGGCGCCTGGGTGGCTTAGTTGGTTAAGCGTCCGACTTTCGCTTAGGTCATGATCTCACAGTTGGTGGGTTCGGGCCCCGCGTCGGGCTCTGTGCTGACTGCCAGTTCAGAGCCTGGAGCCTGTTTCAGAGCCTGTGTCTCCCTCTCTCTCTGACCCTCTCCTGCTCACGCTGTCTCTCTCTGTCTCCTAGAAATGAATAAAACATTTTAAAAAATTTAAAAAAATAAATAAAAGACATTTGGATTTGTCTGTTGGAAAAGGCTATCAAGCTCAATAGGACAAAACTCAAGGCTAAGTTAATGAGACGCATATTCAATGGATGTTATTTATTTGGTTCTGAAAACAGATTCAAAGGTGAAATGTCAAAGTGTTTGAACAATGCCAACATCACTAGAATAAACACCTGTTTCTCAAAGAGACAAAGGAGAGTACTCAGGAGGGTGTGTGAGTTTTCATGTGCACATTAAAAAAAATTTTTTTTTTGTTTATGTATTTTGAGAGAGAGAGAGAGAGACAGAGTGTGAGCAGGGGAGGGGCAAAGAGAGGGAGACACAGAATCCGAAGCAGGCTCCAGGCTCCAGGCTCCGAGCTGTCAGTACAGAGCCCAGTGTGGGGCCCAAGTTCATAAGCCATGAGATCATGACCTGAGCCCAAGTTGGCTGCTTAACCAACTGAGCCACCCAGGCACCCCACATGTGCATATTTAAATCAGACTTATTTCTGATTTCCTGGGCTATACTAGCCATGTAGAAATTAAAGACCTCTACTGGCTTAAACTATCATCCTAGCTTTGCTTATGGCTTTCTCTGCTCTGTAAGTGTCCACCACGCAGGCCCGGGAAACTCGTCATCTTCACAGGGGCACCTGTGGGGCGGAGGGGGCAGTGGTTGGATTTCCATGGCCTCTGTCCAGCCCCTGCTCCTGTCTGCAGTGCAGCAGTTCCGTCAGTGCCTCAGAAACATGCTTTCATTCACTCACTCACTTAGAAATATCTGTGGAATGCCTTTTATTTGCCAAGCGCTGAGATGATGTGAGTCTTTTCTGGAACAAGGCCAGACACGATGGATGATGGATGCTCAGCTGAGCGAAAGGACAGTCATTGTACTGGGTACGAGAGACACAGGGCTGGAAAGGCCGAAGCCCTGCGCACAAGGAATTTCAGTCTGGTTTTGTGAAAGAGCGGTGATAAGACTTGCGGTTGAGCAGGAACGAGGAAAAAGCTCCTGCCTCCACCCCAGGGCTCAGGGGCCAGGGGTGCAAGCACTGGCAGGTCTGCAGAGTGTTGGAGTGGGTCAGGGAGGGCTGAGAGGTCATCAGTGTTGGAGGTTGGGGGCTTGGGCTGAAGCTGTCAGAGTCACATGGAAGACCTTTCTTGGAATCACATGCTTGCCTCTGGCACTCATTCTGACTATTCCTGAGAATCCTTGTATCCCAAGTTGAGGAGCAAAACTTTCAAATAAACCTAGAAAATTTTTCTGATTAGCACAGAAATACATAGAAAATTCAGAAAATATATAAAAGCAAAAAGGGAAAACAACACCTATAATCCTACCATTTTACAAGAGAATCATTTCTTTGATATATGCTCTTCCAGATAACCTTGCATACCTGTGTGTATATATATATTTAAAGGAAATTGTTCCACACAGTTTTCTAAGGTGCCCTTCAGCAATGTCTGGTCACATCTCTTCACTGAGTTGACTGCTATGTCACGCTGCTAATGGCTGCATAATATCATATTTGTGTTTTCATATGCCTTCACTTTTTACCATGAAAAATAATTTTGGATTATTCATAGTGATTTGAAAGTAATCCATTGTTTTTCACTTATTGTGCATTTTCAATTTAAGATACACCAGAAGCTAACATCCTGTTGAATTTTATAAGAGAAAATAAAGAAACAAATCCTCTGGATGGTGAAATCGACAATTATTTGAAAGAATCCATAAATTGTAAGCAACCTTTAAATGTTATTTGAGGGGCACCTGGGTGGCTTAGTCGGTTAAGCGTCCGACTTTCGCTTAGGTCATGATCTCGCGGTTCGTGGGTTCGAGCCCCGCGTCGGGCTCTGTGCTGACTGCCAGCTCAGAGCCTGGAGCCTGTTTCAGTCTGTGACTCCCTCTCTCTCTGACCCTCCCCCTGCTCACGCTGTCTCTCTCTCTCTCTCTCCTAGAAATAAATAAATAAAAATAAATAAATAAATGTTATTTGAATTTTTAAAAGGTACTGTTTTACATAGTAAAAGATACCATATTCTTACTCTGTAACTGCAATATTCCCACTTTTTAAAGGTTGTTTAAAACTTTTAGAGGTTTCTAAAAACCTTTTGCCAATCTCATGGGAGTTAAAAAATTGAGTTGACTATTCTTCTTATTGATTATTGAGAATTATTTATGTATTCTGGATAGGGGTCCTTTTTCTCCTCTAAGGTTGCTAGCATGCCCCACTCTGAGCCTGCCTTCCCTCACTTTTACTGGCATCTTCTGATGACCAGAAAGTCTTCACTGAAATAAAATGAGTTAAAATTCTCTTTTCCTTTTTTTTCTTGCTTATTTTTTGTTGTTATGTCCATTTGTATAATCAGGTTTAATACAACAAATATAATAATTTTTTCTGTTACTTAAATGAACCTATTACATGTTCTCATTTGAACTTTGTAGTTTTTCTATTTGGATCTAATCTTTTGGAAATCTTTGAATACATAGAGAGCTGTAACAGCTTTTTATTTTCAGTAAATGCAATAGTCGATGTCTATACAGTTGAACAATTAAAGGTAAAAGCTTTGAAGAATGAAGGGAGAGCTGACCCTTTCTACGGCATTCTTTACGCTCATATCTCTACACTGAACATCGATGGTGCAACCACAACTGTAGTTCGACACCGATGGTAAGCAGATTATTGTTGGCAGAGTCATTCTTATAAGAAATAAAGACCAACTATTGTTAATAGGTTTTAAGCTCTACAGAAGTTAAAGCTATTCTTTGACATAACAGCGGTTATGTATTTGAAAGAAAGGTATAAATAAATAACCCGTACTTAAATTTTCAAGACAAACTATTTAGATTGAAAGCTCATAATTGCCTTAAAATTTTTTAAATGCTTATTTATTTGGAGAGAGAGAGAGAGATTGAGTGAGGGGCAGAGAGAGAGGGAGACATAGCATCCAAAGCAGGCTCCAGGCTCTGAGCACAGAGCCTTATGTGGGGCTTGAACTCACAAACCAAGAGATCATGACTTGAGCTGAAGTCAGACACTTAAGCAACTGAGCCACCCAGGCAGCCCTATAATTGCCTTAAAAAAAAGATTTTAGTTTTAAGTAATCTCTACACCCAGTTTGGGGCTCAAACCCATAATCCTGAAATCAAGAGTCACATATGCCACCAACTGACACAGCCAGGTGTCCCTATAATTGCCTTTAAAAAAAAAAAAGGGTTTCTTTCTTTTTTTAAATGCTTATTTATTTTTGAGAGAGAGAGAGAGCATGCGAGAGTAGGGGCGGGGCGTGGGTGAGGTGGGGACAGAGGATCCAAATCAGGCTCTGTGCTGAGAGCTCAGCCCAACATGGGGCTCGATGCCACAAGTCATGAGATCATGACCTGAGCTGAAGTCAGATGCTCAACCACCTGAGCCACCCAGGTGCCCCAAGTTTTCTTTTTTTAAATGTTTATTTTATTTTGAGAGAGAGAGAGAAAGCACATGTGAGCAAGGAAAAGAGGCAGAGAGAGAGGAGAGAATCTTAAGCAGGCTAGTTGCTCAGCGTGATGGGGGTCTCGATCCCATGACTGTGAGATCATGACTGAGCCAAAGTCAAGAGTCAGATGCTTAGCTGACTGAGCCACTCAGGTGCCCCTATAATTGCTTTTTAAGGTAAAATTTGATTTTCTGTGTTTCTGTAGTTGTAAAATATAAAGATATAATACTGTCAGAAACTTTTAACTGATATGACAAGCTGTTGTGTTATAATATACTAGAACATTATTTTGGTTGCATTGTTCTATAGCAATGCAAGTGACAGCATTTACAAATTTTTATTGTTTATTTTTGAGAGAGAGCGAGCACATGTGCATACCCACAAGTGGGGGAGGGGCAGAGAGAAGAAGAGTCAGAATGCCAAGCAGGCTCCACACCCTCAGCATAGAGCCCGACTCGGGACTAGTACAGAAGCATCATGTGAGCGTTTGTCGAACCCAGGCTTTCTAGGGACAAGACACGACTCTTGCCCTCGGAGCCCTGAGCCCGGGAGACTAGATGGACGTGCCTGCGGCGTCAAGGAATAGGAGGGGACAGGAGATAGGGTTGGTGGTCAGCCCCACTGCTGTTTGGGGAAAGGAAGGGGTGAAGGAGCCCCAACGGGGAGAAGGTGGGGGGCAGGGCAGTGGGAAATGGGATTGATTGCACGTTGTGTTGTTCCCTGCTTCGATGTCCGTCTGGCATCCTGCGCTGTGCTGAGAGCTCTGAACTTCCTTACTCTGGTTTAGACTTTCAAGGGAACGTGCTTCTTCAGCTAGAGATCAGGCGGGTCTTTTACGCCTTCACGCTATCACTGTCTTCATTTCTTTTCAGCTCGGGCTGTGGATACATTATGAAGGAAGCGGCTGGCACCTGCATTACTTGCAACAGAGATTCTTTGGAATTTAAATCTGTTTTTCTCAGCTTCCACTTGCTAATTGATGTCACTGACCACACAGGCACCCTCCACTCCTGCAGCCTCACGGGAGGAGTCGCTGAGGAGACTTTAGGCTGCACGGTAAATAGCATGTTTAGAAATGATTCCAGATTGAATTCTCTTCCCCCAAATATAGGTTATTTCAGTGAACATTTGATAGAAATTAAGTCATTAATAAAGAGGTCTGGGGAAAAAATCAATCTTGATTTAAACACACATTGCTTCAACGAACAAATAATCGCATGCTTGCCGATCACAGCTACTCTCGCTACTGGGAGTAGTGTTGGAGGCTGTTGGCTGCAGGGGAGAAAGAAGACCTTCTCTGTAGTCGAGCAACAGTGGGCAGAACAGCGCATGGGAGATGTCCGCCAGCTGGGAGGCAGCAGGAGGGTGTGGCGACATTTCACGAGCAGCTGTAGACAGCCAGCCCTGCGCAGAGTCAGCACACGCATCGTCCTCCATCGGACGACCGCAGATAGTTAGGCGTGTGTGTGCTTGTGACAGGCACCTGTTTTTTATGGTTAAAACTGCCTCCTGAAGCTTACCATAAAACCTCAGTCTCAAGTGGTTTCTAGTTTGTTAAGGGGAGTTTTCTGGGCTGAGGCACCTGACTCCCTTCAGGGGTTTCATTCAGAGCCTTTCTGACCTTCCCTCCTCCATTCAGAGAATTGAGCTGTAATTTCTGTGACTAAAATCCCAGTCCAGTGAGCAAAGGGAAGCTTCACATTGTGTCAAGAGGAGATATTTATATAGACTTTGGAAATGTTTGTTTGATTATTTTAACCAGGTAAATGAGTTTCTTACGATGACGGATGCACAGAAAACTGCACTGAAGTGGCAACTTCTTCTGGAGAGAAGCAAAATTTATTTAAAAGTTAGTATATTTTACAGTACTATGTTACTCTCTATCTTCAAGTAATAAGAAAATCCTAGAGTAAGACCTAGACGGTTAGGGCATTTGTTATTTTTAATAATGCCCACTTCCCAGATGTGCAGAAGGATTTGGCTATTGTGAAAACAATGCAAGGTGTCAGGTTTTTTCCCATAAAGTACAAAGGATTTCCACACGACACCAAAGAAATAGACCAACTGGGGTGCCCAGCTGGCCCAGACAGTGGAGGGTGGGACTCTTCATCTCAGGGTTGTGAGTTCAAGGCCCACGTTGGGTGTAGAGATTACTTAACAATAGGATATTTAAAAAAAGAAAGAAAGAAATAGTCCAACGAAGACACAGTCTGTTACGTTAACTCTAAGGCAGGGCACTGGCTGTAGTGTCAAAGCTGGTCCTCGCCGCCTCCCCACAGTGTGGTGGTGCCTCTCAAGCCGATGAGCAGAGTCAGACGGCACGGTCACACACGTGGATGAGGGGGCGAGAAAGGCCCCCGGTCTGAGCCCTAATCCCGCCACTCAGCCTCTGTGACTCTCTAAAACTCTGTGATCCTGCCGCTCTTACCAGAGCAGCGCTAGGAGCACTGCAGTGTCGGTGGTGTGTGTGTGTGTGTGTGTGTGTGTGTGTGTGTGTGTGTGTCACAGAATCTTAGTATTCAAGGCGTAAAGAGAGGCCTGAGACAAAGTCCTGTTGTTTTGCAAATGTAGAAAATGGGACCACGAAATACTGCTACTTGTGCCAGGTCCCAGGTGGCGTAGGGCCACAGCCTACATGACTCCTCTCCATCTACTGGTCTTTAACCTTTTCTCCTTTACACTCTTCAAGGTTTTCAAGCTCCTGTTTCAGAGAATTATATCTGTCGGTATTCACTGCACTAGGACGTAACATTGAGAACGATCTAAGACACGTTCATGAGCACACATTTCATTAACAGTCCACAGTGTTGCCATCACATGTTCCGCAGCCTCTAGAAAATCAGTGTGTTTGTTCTGTGAAAGAATGAGAGTAAAAAAGGCTGACGGCATCTTAGTAATCATGGCAGTAGGTGTGAACTCATGGATACTTTGAGATAGTCTTCGAGGACACTGCACTGCTCCAGCCCAGCTCAGAGCAGGTGTTCCCGTTTTCCAGTGGCTTCTTTCCTTGTGGCCTCAAGCATATCTGACTGGGTTACAGACATGGAGTTACCTATGGCCTCCCTGATATTTCTAGGGCCTTACTTTCAGACTTCTTCATCACTAGGTCTAAGCGGGGAATTGCAATAATACACTGTGTCTCTTCACCGTGTGCATGGACCCACATAAATACCGTCTGTTCCCAGAGCAGAATATACTCACATCTTTGACCAACTTTGTTTTCCCTCCAAATAGGAAGTTCCAGTTGCTGATGAATGTGATCAATTTAAATTCATGGCAGGTTACTTATAGTTTCCCTAATTGATTCAAACATACTGATAAATTGCTCTCAACTGAAGGGACTTTGTACTTTTCCAAAGAATATGTTTAAAAAGTATGTAAGTCAGATTTAACAAAGATTTTAAGCAGATATAAAATGATCATATCATAGGGGCACCTGGGTGGCTCCGTTGGTTAAGTGGCAGATTTTGGCTCAGGTCATGATCACACAGTTTGTGAGTTCAAGCCTCTGTGAGTTCAAGCCTCTCTGCTGACAGCTCAGAGCCTGGAGCTGCTTCGGATTCTGTGTCTCCCGTTCTCTGCCCCTCCCCTGCTCACTCTCTGTCTCTCAAAAATAAATTTAAAAACTTAAAATGATCACATCACAAGATGTAATAAAGATTATGAGAATAAAATATAATTTCAATTATTTTGAATCAGTTAAAAATGACAAAAATGAAGTATTGCTGTACAGGTAGGATATTTTGTATATCCATATTTCAATTAAAAATAGGGGCACCTGGGGGGCTCAGTTGGTTGTGTCCAGCTCTTGATTTTGGCTCAGGTCACGAGCTCATGGTTCATGAGATCGAGCCTCACACTAGCTTCCACACTGAGTGTGGAGCCTGCTTGGGATTCTCTCTGTCCCTCTGACCCTGACCGCCCCCCACCCCAAAACAAAGAAAGAAAGAAACAAACAAAACAATGGCTACCTAAAATGGTTCAGTTGGAGGGATTTCAAAGCAAGGTAGTTTACTGTTTTCAAACACGTGGTGATATTAATACAAGTGCTTGTGAGTCTGATGTTAGGGTCAAAGCATGATTTCCAAAAAGGGTAAGCCATGACTCTCATATAAAAATAAAATGAACACATCAAAGATTTAATTCAATTCATTCGTTAGTGAAGAGACCGGGAATGTGTTCTTGAAAAGTGAAGTCAGAGGAGAACGGGAAGAACAGACACAAAGGTGGACTGTCTGGGTTTCTCCGAGAGGACCATTATTTTCATCACAGTCTGTTTCCTGCAACTTAGAGTTAAAACCCGCTCGGTCAAGGCCCTGAAAGGTGCTGCAGAATGAGGCAGTAATGAGCCAGAATGGCCTGGCTCCCGCCCTGGCACCCAGACTGTGGGAGGGCAGGGAGCTGGTGCTCCACGGAAAGATGCCCACGGAGACTTGTTGCCCAGTGGCAGTCTTGCAGGGCTTCCTGACCGTAGTCTCTTCCTAGTAGGCTTTGAAAGTAAGACAGATAGCTGATGTGCCCTTCTGCTCTGTGTCAAAGAAAATGCTGGTGAAGGTGCTTTCTTGTCAGAAGTAAGACATTGTTATTAATAAAGGGCATCACCGCGTCCCCATCCCCGTAGCCTGACCGATTAAGTTACCACCACGGGTTAACATCTGTCACAGCTGCTAGCTCGAACACACTTTATTTTATGTATGAATGTATGTGATCTCTGTGCCCCGTGCGAGGCTTGAACTCACGACCCTGATATCAAGAGTTGCATGCGCCCCTGATGGGGCCGGCCGGGTGCCCCCCGAACACACTGTAAACTCCTTCTGTTTGTAGGTACTGGATTTGAAACTCCAACTTTCCTTCCAAGGAGAAATGCCATGAAGCAGATAACAGATGTTCACAAAATCAAGGTCCGGGGCCAAGTCTGTCATTTCTCTCCAGGCTCGGCCTGAGACTGGGGCCCCCGGAGGGTCACAGCGGCCACTGGCGTGTGTGCTCACACAAGCAGAACGGCTCATGGTGGTTTTCTTGCAGTCACTGGTTGTCAGCTTTATATACATGGTGATTTTTAAAGTTCACTTCCTCTCTCTCTTTTCTCCCTACAGTTTTTTTTATCACATCGAGCAAGGGGTGGACTGAGAATTAGCGTGCTCTCCTGTAAGCTAGCAGACCCTATTGAGGCAAGTAGGAACTTGACCAGGCGAGGAAATACTTAAAACAAGATAGCTTAAAGTCTGGACAAGGAAACGAGCTTCAGCTCCCTTGAAAGTGGAAAACGTGTTTGAAGATTATGGATGAAATTGTGTTTTGTTTAAATGTGGTAAAAATGTTCCTATACATTGTTATTATGCTTCCTTCTGGAGTTGGTTAAGGGGGGGGTAAGTCTTAAATTCTCTCCTACCACCCAGCTCCTTTGTCAGAGGCCTTTTCTACCAGCTTTGCCCAAGTTGGAAGATGTTTCCATGAATTAATAAACAAGTTTAATCTTCCCACAGATATGAATGATTTCTTTAAGGCCCTTTCCTCTTTGTCGTGTTTCCCTGGAGAAAGGGCAGAACCTCTGAAAATGACGTCCCCGGGGCTTGGCAGGGGCTGAGCCTGCTCTCCAGCGGCGGGTGGGGCGCAGGCGAGGGTCGCTTTGCCCCCTGAAGAGCTTCTCTGATCCTCGCCTTCTGTGATGACACATGGAGGCCCTGGCTGACTGCGCGCTGCCAGGTGTGCGCCTGAGTCAGCCGGGAGGAGACCAGCCTCAGAAGTGGTCAGCAGCGGCGCCAGTCTGGGGCCTGGAAGGACGAGGCTGCCCCCGCAGGACGCCGGCCCCCACCCCTGCCGTCGGGGCCCCGGCGCGCCCTGCTCAGCCCCAGCCCTTCCACACTTGCTGCACAGACCCGCCAGCGCGGTCAGCACTGGCCCACAGTCGGGGAGGCTCGGCCTCTCTGTCCCCCACCCCCGGCGTGAAAACAGAAGGTAAGTATATGAAACTCTTAGAAAGCGGGTGTTGGGAGATAAACTTGTCAGCAGCGGCGTCTCTGCTTTTACCACGCGCAGCCGTGGAGGAGGGGCACGGGCGGCCCCTAGCGTGTCCAGACGGTGGTAATGAGCAGGGTGACGAGGACCTGGCCGAGCTTGCACACGGGGAGTGTGCCCGATGAAGCAGGTGTCCAACCAGAGGACGGGCGGGGAAGGAAGGAGGAGAGTGGGGGAGGGGGAGGCTTCGGGGCAGGGGGCGAGAGAAGTCGAGGGTATCCGCCTGGTGTCCACATTCACACACTCTGTTGGCTGAGCAGGAGTGGGTGTCCAGGAGCCCGGGGGCGCAGAAGGACACCTGGCCCCGATGTGTGTCAGGAACTGCTGTGCCAGACCTCCTGGTGCCCTGACCTCTAGCAGCGGGTCCCAGAGACCAACGCCTAGACCGCAGGTGCCGGGACGGGCTGGGGGCTCCTCGGGCCCACGGGCCTCAGCTGCTCTGCTGCATCGCCGCCGGCTTCGCGTGTGTAATACGATGCCTAATTCTCAGCTGGGGCTGCGTGTCATACCCCGTGTTCTCCAGCCACAGCCTGGGGGCCTGGCACGGTGGCAGAGGGCTCCGGATGGCCTCCGCACAGCTGCCTTGGTGACCTCTGAGTCCACCAGCATTTACCTCAGGAGACCCCGTACCCGTCACTGGAGGGATGCCCTGTGCATCTCATCTGATGACACAGGAATCTCCATGGCCAGGGGTCAGCCACACCGTATCGCAGGGGCGTCACAAGCTGGACCTTCCACATTTATGAAACGAAGATGACAAATTGGTTGATATCTAAAATTTGGTTGTAGGTGGGCCAGCACTCACACACTCAGAGGGGTAAAGAAGCATCATACTCCGTCACACAAAACACAGGTCCTCGGCCCGGACCTGCAGCGCCCCTGACCCCTGGAGCTGCTGTGCCTGGCCCCCGCGTCCTCTGACCCGCAGGGGGGCCTCGCTGTCCCCAGCAGCGTGGCCGCTGTGTGCCTCTCCCTCGTCGACTGGTGGCTCATTTCGGGAGGATCCTCCTTTTCTAACGCCACGCTGGTGAGCTCATTCGTATCATACGGTGCACGTGGCAGAAACACGGCATCCGTGTGTCCGTCTGTTACTCATCTTGAGGACCCCTGGGGTGGTTTTTGCTTTTTAAACATATTTTGTTATGAATTTTGATGTGTTTATTGTAGAAAAATTAGAAAACACTAGATAAGAAACAGGGAGAGCCCGAACGTCCCGCCCCCAAAGTCTTTCCTGGCAGGAGATGCATTCTTTTCTTGAGTGTATATTTTGCTCTTGTTGTTTTTTGTGGTAAAATATACATTACATGACATTTACTGTTGTCGCCATTTTTTCGGCGTACACCTCAGTGGCATTAAATACATCCACAGTGTTGTGCAGCCGTCCCCACCATCCATTTCCAGAACTTTTCACCATCCCAAACTGAAACTTTGCCCCCATTGGACTAGAACTCGCCATTCCGCTTCTCCCAGACCCTGGTCGCCTCTTATCTACCTCATGTCTATGAGCTCAACTACTGCAGGGACTTCATTCACCCTGTGACCTTTTGTGTCTGGCTTCTTTCTCTGAGCATCATGTTTTCAGGGTTCACCGATGTCACAGCACGTGTCAGTGTCATTCCTTTTTATGGCTGAGTAGTTTTCCACTCTATGGCTGGCCGTGGGCTTTGTGCGCCCATCTGTCGATGGACACGGGGGCTGTTTCCACCTTTGGCTCTTGTGGTCAGACGGTCAGCGCTGCTACAACCGGGTGTGTACAAGCAGCCCCCCTTTACCTGTACGAGTTTCCTGACTCTGTCACCTATCTTTGTGAAAACATACAAGTTGCACATGCAGGTTACATTACAATCTGCTTTCACACTTGACACTTTGTGATCACTTACTACTCAACATAACTTCAGTGGCCGCATATCCTCTCATTACAGGAGTGTAGGGTACTGAGTGTAATCCACCCAGTACTGCTAGACGTGGTAGGCGCTCCCCAGCTTTCGCTATTGTAAACACCAGCTGCAGCTAAGTGTCCACATTCTTATTTCCTTGGGATGAGTTTCTGGACATTAAATTGCTACAATAATACCGATAGCTAACATTATCGAGTGCTTTCTATGCGACAGACATTGTAATAAACATTTTACCTACAGTATCCCATTTACACCAGTACTGTGTTTCCAATAGCAAAACATTTGAAATGCGTGCAGCCTGTTGGGGCTGTCGGACCCCAGCCAGGTCCCTTCATGTCCAGGTACACACCTCCATCCGTCAGTTTCCCTGGGAGGTGAACCACCTGCGGAAGTCATGGGAGGGGTGGGGGCAGATCCGGCAGGACCTCCCCCTGGGACAGCGCACTGAAGCTCATCTCTCGCTCTGAGCCCTCTGCGTCCTTTGTTAGTCTGCTCTCTGCCTTTTGTGCTTCCTCTTCCGTCTTCTCCGGGGAGTGCTCCTTCAGGAAGTCCCCTGAACCAGGACCCCAGCCCAGCTCTGCCTCGGGGACTCCATCTGAGACACAGCCAGTGACAGGGATTATGAAAATCTATATTCACTGGAAAGATGTTCATAGTATATCAAGAGGGTGTAGGATACTCATTTTTTATGAAGGCTCAATAAACATTAAAAAAAAAACAGTGCAGAAGAACAAATGTGAACCATACATTCTATAGGAACTGCTGCATCATGGGATTTTTTTTTCTCCAGGGAACTAATGGTATTGTGTGTACAGGTCCCTGTTTGTAGGAGGCGTGCACTGGAAGGGCAGAGGGTTTCTGCACCCCATTTCCAGTTTTCCAACACAAGTGTGGTTAGGCGTATGTCTGTGTGGAGGGAGCAAACACAGCCAATATTACCAACTACCGAATCTAACGAAGGGTATACAGAGTTCAGTGTATTAGTCTTTCAACTTTTTAGTAGGTTTGGTTTATTCAAAATAAAAAGTTGGGGGAAATAGGCCTCTTGGGTGCTAGGCTTACTGTGATTTTAGCAAAAGCAGGAATTGTGGGAACTGGTGTCTGTCGGTGTTTTTTTCTCCCAGCCAAGGACTTTCTGTGCTATACCTGCAATGCTGTGGTCAGCTGTTTGCGACAAAGCCCATGCCACCGCTGCGGTGAACATTGACCTCGGGGGCACCCTGCGCTCTCTGGGAGCTGGCTTGTGCCACCCGAGGGTGCTGCATGTGAACACTGCCCTGCCTCATACCTTTTGACTTTGAAGTCTGTCAGCCTGATAGACTGGTCTCAGGTGAACTTTGTATCCTAAGCTGGTTAGGCTGATCCACTTTCAGTATGAGCGGACCCTTGAGTCAGCTCTTCCCCTTAGGAGAACCAGCCAGATGAAAGAACTACAAAAGTGTTGACTCTACTAGCAAGTAATTAGAAACTATTTCAATCTCCAGCCATGGGGGATGGACTTCAGAATCTTACGTGGTCACTGAAAATAGTACTGCAGAAATGGGCCAACTGACACAGGTCAGTCACAACGTACAGTGAGAAAAGCAGGCTAGAAAATTGTGTCACGAGCAATTTTTCTTTTCAAAATTACAATTACAGGGGCGCCTGGTGGCACAGTTGGTTAAGCTTCTGAGTTCAGCCCAGGTCATGATCTCACCGTCTGTGAGTTTGAGTCCCGTCTTGTGCTCTGTGCTGACAGTGGTAGCCTGGAACTTGCTTTCAGATTCTGTGTCCCCCACCCCGCCCCTCCCCTGCTTGTGGTCTATCTCACTTCCTCAAAAATAAATAAATGTTTAAAAAAAAATGAAAAGTTACAACGACATCCACAGATTTGGAAGAAGGTACACTGCATGCCTCACTTGAGCTGGCTCTGGGTGAAAGAAGTTTTGGGTGTTTTGCTTACTCATATTCCCTAACTCTTCTGTAATAATCATATACTGCTTAGGCAGTTAAAATAAGAAACTTGATTAGAAAAGAAGTTAAGATAGTATGACATTTAGTACACAAGTCCAATCCTGGCACTACCCCACAATAAATTTTAAATTAAATGTGGGGGTTGCCTAACACCTAAACGACAGAGTCTTCTTAGAGATCTACCTACAAGGTGCGGCCTGCACTGTGGTCAAGACTTCAAGTTGTGGGTCAGGAAAGCTGGGTTACAGCGTGGCTCTATCCGTCAGCGGCGTGACTGTAGAGCCAGGCCGCCTACACCCTACAGCTACATCTTCCTGTGTGACAGGCACGGCAGGAACAGCAATCTCACAGCCCTGCTGAGGGTTAGATACTCCACGGGAAGCTCCTGGCACAATGCCCAGCGGTGCTGAGGGTTCAGTAAATGTGAGTTATTAAGTTAGATGTCCTCCGCTTTCTTGGAGGGGCCAGCAGATGCTGGCACTGTGTATCTGTTGAGACTTTTCGTCCCAGGGGGTCAGGCGGCAACAAGAGTGGCTCTCCCAGGCCATTCGACTTGCCTGAAGCCTCGTCCCCGGCGGGAGGCAGAGGTGCTGATGAACCACATCATCTGGGTGGACCACCGTGCTCCCAAGGCCAAAGGGCAATAACCAAGGTCTGAAGCCCTTAATGAGGAAGTGTCCCTACTGAGCCACCACTGGAGGGGAAAAAGTACACTTTAAGGTCAAACAAAAGACAACACATTTATTTTGAAAATAACTCTTTCAGACTTATCTCCCAGATTCAGAATCTACGGGCCATGGCACAGATGGGTGAGGTCGTCATTAACTGTTCACTTATTACACAGAATCTTAAATCAGCTGATTACGTGGAGGAGTGTTTTTCCACATTTGTGATAAGAATCACTTGCAATGCTGGATATTAATCCTGCCAATTATTATAGTGGGCCTGGTATGGGCCAGTAATGCGGAAACTTTTTTATTTTTACAAATACCTCCAGATGATTATCATGATCAAGGAATTTTAGTATGATTTTCAACTTCCTTTGCAGATTTTCAGTGTTGAATTACTGATCCCGGAATGAGTCACGGAAAAGTCTTACGCAGTCCAGTTTTAGGAAAGGAAAATAAGTCTTCTGAACATTTAGTTTGATAAATTCTCCTCTTTGGAAGCTTCACAAAAACTTTCTTTCCTAAAAGACACTCGTTCTTTCCATTTCTGGCCCAGCTTTTTGCTCACAATTTCCTGGAAGGGCCCGTCTTCCTTAAGTCATAACAATCCAATTAAGTCATACTGAAAAATTATTTCTTATTGAAGCATCGTGGCATTTAACAACCTTTGCTTGCTTCCGTCCAGCTCTCTTCTCTGCTGAAACTTGAGAAGCCAGGGTGCTTGGAACAGACTCAGTACTCCGGCCTTTCAACCTTAAATGTCATACTGAGCACCCCGTGTATGCCAGCCTGGATCTCGTCGTTTTCTTTAACGGGTCCGACTCCCTTTGGCGTCCCGGTCAAGATAAGATCTCCTTCTTCCAAGGTCATTATCTTGGAAACGTAGCTGATAATGTAAGGGATGGAAAAGATCATGGAGGATGTGTTACCCTCCTGCCGGAGTTCGCCGTTGACCTTGAGCCAGAGCTTCAGGTTGTGAGGGTCGGGGATCTGCTCTTTGGGCACGAATGCGCTGACCGGGCAGGAGGCCGTGAAGCTCTTGGCCAGGGTCCAGGGCAGCCCCTTCTTCTTGCACTCGTCCTGCACGTCTCTGGCGGTCATGTCCAGGCACAGGGCATAGCCGGCCACGTAGTCCATGGCCGCGGCCTCGGGGACGGCGCGGCCGCGCCTGCCCATCACCACGCCCAGCTCGAGCTCGTGCTGCAGGTTGCGGCTGTAGGCTGGCAGGAGGATGGCCGAGCCCTCGGGGGCGTAGGCGGCGGACGGCTTCAGGAAGAGCACCGGCTCGCTGAGCACGGCGCTCCGCATCTCCCGGACGTGGTCCGCGTAGTTCCTGCCCACGCACACGATGTTCTTCCCCCACTCCCAGAAGCGGGACAGCGGCCTGGAGGCTGCCATGTCGCGGCCGGTCGCCCCCGCCTCACGTGACTCCGCCGGAACCCGGTCACCTGATGCCTACGGCGCCCCGGAGAGAACGAACTACCTCAGAGTGCCGTCCCGGCGGCGACAGCCGATTCCGCTCTGCGCTCTACCCCGAGCTCGGGAGTCGCGGCGCTCGAACTCCTGGGAGCCGCTGTCCAGTAGCTGCCTCGGGACACCGGCCTGGTTCCTAGACCGAGGCGGAGGCCCTAACGCCGCTCTCCGGACGCCGCCTACGCCGCCGCCTGTCGCCTCCCGGCCCGAGCTCAGGTCCGCCGCTGCCCGGCCGCGAGCGGGCACGGGCTTGGACGCGAGCGCTGATTGGTCGGGATCTGGGGCGGGGGCGCTAGGCGTGCGCCGATTGGCTGGGGGGCGGGGCGGCGGGCGCCGATTGGCCGCGGCGCGTCGCCGGCCTGTGCGGCCCTCCCGCCCCTCGCGCCGCCGCCGCCGCCGCCGCCGCCGCCCGCCGTCCCGGGTCATGGTGCTGGGCCGCGGGCTGCTCGGTCTCCGGAGCGTCTCCGCACTGGGAGCGGCCTGCGCCCGCCGCAGCCTGGGTACGTGGACCGGGACCGGCCAGGGCTTGACGAGGCGCGCGCCTGACAGGAGTCGGGGGCGCGGGGACCGGCCCGAGGAGGCCGTCCCGCCGGCGTCGGGGCCGGGTAACGGCTGCGAGGCCGCCGCGCCCGCCCGAGGGGTCTGGGGACGCCGAGGGAGGCCGGGGGGCTCCGGGCCGCCGTGGGCTGACGCTGTTTTCTGTCGACACAGGCTCGTAAGCCCCGCGCAGGCAGGCGCCTGGGGTCGGGAAAAGGCTCCGAAGTGCTTGAGTCAGACTTGGCGGGGGCTGAAGACAGTGGGTCACTGGTCAGCGAGGGCTTGCTGCAGGGTTTGTGCCCGGCAAGGAGCCTCGCGCCCCCGCCCGCGCGAGCCCGGAGCCCCAGGGAGCGCGCTCCTGGCCTTTACTACAGGAAAAACCTGGGCCACTCGAAACCGAGGTGTAGACAAAGGGCAGGGACCCCGAGCGGTACCCGGGTGCCAACCAGACCGGGTCCTGGGAGCTGGGGGACCCTTGCCGTCCCTGAGCCTCTGTTTCCTCACCCCCCAGCCCGCTTCCGGGGGCCTGCGCCTCAGCTCTGAGTCCCTGTGCTCCCTCCTCTTTGATGGAACATTTTGACCTTGATCTTGAAATCTCTCTCTTTTTTTTTTTTTTTTTTTACTATTTCCTGACATCTTCTCTGGCTGATGTAGCAATAGGGGCAGTAGGTTAACCTGAGCCTTTGGGAGATGGTTAGCCATTACCTGAATGACCACATAGCGCTAATGAGGGAAGGAAGCAGGCCGTTTTCAAAGCTCACCGGGAGCACTCCCGGGTCTGGAGTGGGTCAGGTGTTGCCATTACTAAGGAGAGGGCCTGTCTGTTTTTCCATCTAGAGACACTCGTCAGGCTGTCCGGGCGGCGGGCAGGTAGCATGCCTGGGACGATACAGAATGGGCAAGATGGTGGCTGCCTCATCCAAGAGGGAGCCCAGTCCCAGCCATTTGATGCCGTGTGGAAGGGCGGCGGCACTTCAGGAGAGGCCAGACAAGGGGCTCCAGGGGGCACGGTCGGCTAAGCGCCCACTCTTGGTTTTGGGCTCAGGTCATGATCTCGTGGTCTGTGAGTTTGAGCCCCACGTCCACCTCTGTGCTGACAGGGTGGAGCCTGATTTGGATTCTCTCCCTCCCTCCATTGGCCCCTCCCCCTCCCCCTGTCCGTGATCTCTCTCTCTCTCTCTCTCTCTTCCTCAAAATAAATAAATAAACTTTAAAAAATCCATACATTAAAAAAAACCCCAGAAGTCAAACAAAACAGGTGTCAGGACTTGGCCTGGACTGTAGGCTGCAGTCCTCTGCCCTCTGCTTATTCACAAGGTCACGGTTGCAAACCAGGGAGCTGGAAGCATCTCTCAGGCATATACTTTTTGGAAAAGGAACAGTGTTTCTGGGGGTGCCTGCAGAAATGCCTGTGAGCTCCCTAGGGGAACTGAGCACAGGTTGTAAGTACGGTTTCCTTCACCCGGCACTGCTCCTCTGCCAGCCGCAGGGTCCTGCTTTAATCCTTTAATCCCCCCCCCCCCCCCCCCCCCCGCTCTCCCCCCCGTCCCGCACACTCTGCTCTGCAGTCCTTCCTGGGCTCTGACAGTACTGGGCTTTGGCAGAGATGGAACATCACAGAAACTTGATGATACGGAAATGTTTGTTTTGTGGTGCATGAGGAGAAGGGCCCAGGAAAGGCGCAGCCGCTTGTCAAAGAAAAGGGGAACTGGATACCTTTGTGTCACTCTGTCCCCTTGACTCACTCGGTCCCCCTTGGCCGTAGCAGAGGAGGTTGATTTCAGCACGCGAGGCCCCTGGGGATGCAGTCCGTCAGTCAGTTGGTGCTGCCTGCTTTCTGGATCCCTGCTGGGAGAGCCTCCACCCCAGCACCGACCCGACCCCAGGATGACCCCAGGATTTCACAAGCCGGTCTCCTGCCACCTTTTGTGGTGTTAATCTCTTTCGAGCTAAGACTTAGAGCGTTGTTGGGGCCTCTGTGAAATTTCAGGTGGAGTAGGGGTTTGACTGTTGAAAATATTTTGGCACCGGACTCCTTGGTGGAGGGTCTTTGGGCTCTTGCCCTGGCTCAACACTTGGTGACGCCGTGTCCTGCACACCTGAATCTGGAACCCTTGTGGCCACCGGTGGGTTTTGTGCCTCATCCAGATTTCCAGTTCTGCTCCCCCCCCTTTTTTTTTAATGTTTTATTTATTTCTGAGACAGACAGAGAGAGAGAGAGACAGCATGAGCAAGGGAGTGTCAGAGAGAGAGGGAGGCACAGAATGTGAAACAGGCTCCAGGCTCTGAGCTGTCAGCACAGAGCCCGATGCGGGGCTTGAACTCATGAACTGAGAGATCATGACCTGAGCCGAAGTCGGACCCTTAACCGACTGAGCCACCCAGGCGCCCCCACTTATGCCCTTTGAAAGTGAATATTGTTTTCTTGTCTGGCTGGGTGCCTGGGAAGGGTGGGGAGCACGGGTGACAGACTCTCTGTTAGCTGGGCGGCGGGTGCTGAGGCGCAGTCCCGCTGGGCACGTGTCCTCTGGCTTCCTCTCTTCCTGGTCTGTGTGTGAACACCCCGGAACGGGCAGCGGTCACAGTTGACAGTGGTTTGATCACAGCCACAAGCTGGCACTTCTGTCCTCCTGGAGCCCTCGAAAAAGAAAATAAGGGTCACAGTCTGAGAGATGATTTCTGTGAATGTGCATGTGAATTTTTGTATTTTCCGTGCAGATGTGGTAAAATGAGGATACTTTCTTCTTTGCCAAAGGGGCTCAGGAAAGCAGACACGGCGAGCCTCACACTTTGTCACTTGCCGTCACCTCCCTGGGACGTGGTGTCGGGACTCCGGGGCGCCTATGCCGGGTCAGCCTGGCACGGCCTCCCGTGGACACTGACCGGGGCTGCCCTTTGTCTTCAGGTCCGGCCCGGCTGGGCGTCCTTCTCCATCACACGGGGCGCAGGAAGAGCCTGACCGTGGAACAGGACGCCATGAACGTGGAGTTGCTGCCCGCGCTGACCGACAACTACATGTACCTGATCATCGATGGCGAGACCAAGGAGGCCGCCATCGTGGACCCGGTGCAGCCCCAGAAGGTGGGAGGCCCCAGTGCCATGTCTTCGTTCCCCGCTGGAGTTCATATCTGCCCTGGCCTTGCAGCTTGGCCGAAGCTAAATGCAAATTAATCCATTTGGTTTTTGTAAAACCACCAAACTAGTGTCCAGTCACTCTGCTGTCGGGCAGAAGGCCACTGCGGGGTGGGGCCGGCAAAGGCTGGGGCGTGGAGAGAAGTGGGCTTCCGTGTGTACGGTCTCTGGGGTGGGGGCGGGGGGAGCAGGAGCCCTCCTCAGCCTGCCTGCCCGTCCGTGGGTCTGGCTGTCCCCCGGCGACCTCTGCTGGAGGGGCTCGGAGAGGTCGTGGCTGGCACCGAGCTGCCGGGTGCTCTAAGAGAGAAAAAGGCCACCTTCGCCCTATGCTGCTGGAGTGGGGGCCGGTCGGCAGGGTCAGGTCAGGGCCCGGCCACTCCCAGCAAACCCTGGGTCCCCCGCTGGGGATCCCGCAGCCTGGGGAGCCAGTGCTGGGAGCGTGGCCATGGCCTGCGTCCTGCCTCACGCTTGGTTGCAGGTTGTAGAAACGGTGAGAAAGCACGGCGTGAAGCTGACCACGGTGCTCACCACCCACCACCACTGGTAAGCGCTCCAGAGCCCGAACTCACTCCATGCCAGAGCCGCGCGGGCCGTGTGCACCCCGGGCTGGCGTCCGTGGGGTCGGTCACCCGCAGGCCCCCTGCGCCCTCCCACAGGTGGAGGCCTGGGCTGCCAGGGCTCTGAAAGCCGTCCCCTCCCAGCTGTACCCTCTTGTGGCTGACGGCTGGCCCGGTGGGACCCTGGGAGGACTCGAGGGCTTAGCCTCGGCGACCTTGGCCCTGGCCACGGGCCCTGCTAACTCAGGGGCTCCGTGGGGAGGGCCTCCAGCGGTGTCCTTGAAGGTTCTTGGGCTTGTGTGATGGGAGACGGGCTTTGATGTTAGGGAAGAAACTAGTCTAGACGTTAGTGTTTTTAAAGATCAAGCAGCCATGTTTGGAGACGTTGTGGTTTTCGAAATTTGAAGGAACAGATGAAAGAAGCACCTGTGTTTGGGTTTTAGACCCTTCTGTGGGGTTTTTGAAATTTTTGAGTCTCTTTATAGCTGGAAAAAATCTTTATTTGGTTCTGAATTTCCTTTTCCAACTAAGTGCCTGAGGGCAGCCAGCTGCCCAGAGCCCGTCCCAGAGACTGTCGCTGCCCTGGAGTCTGCGCCGGGCGCCCTCCCCGTGGAAGCGTCCTGGGCACGTGGGCTGGCCAGAGTCCGCTTGGTGGTGGCAACTTCTCGGTTGATGTAGCTGAGTCACTGAGCGTCTGTGGGGGCGTCAGGTGTTAGTTCCTGGTGCTGACGGTCGCGTCTGCAGCCGTGCCCTTGGCCGCTGCGCGCCTGCTCTTTCTGGAAGCTGTGCTGCGCGCTGCAGCCTCTTCTGTACTAAGTAACCACCAGGTCACTTTTCTGACGTTGTGATGCTGTGGGGTTTGTCATGTGTTTGTGTCAGAACACAAGATCGCCAGCGAGGCCCCGCGCCGAGCCGCAGGGCGCCCGGGCCTCCCTGCTTCGCCCTGCCCGGTGGAGGCGGTGGTGTGTCCGTGGCGGGGAGGGGACGCCGGCCGGGGGGTGGGGGAGGGCCCGCCCCTGTTATCTCCGGGCCCTGCTGTGTCTGGGCCGCCGGAGGATGAACAGGATGAACGTGTGGTGGTGAGCTGATGAGCGGGCGCTCTCTGCCATCCGCAGGCCCTCGCCTTGGCCTGGGAAGGCCGATCTGCTGTTGGGCCGCTAGCCCTGCTCTGGGTTTGGGCCCCTGGGCTCACGCTGGGGCGGTTCCAGCCCCACAGCGCCAGGGACGGAACTCTTTTCCTGTTTCTGAAGCGCAGGTCAGGCTGCCCCTGGGAGGAGGGGAGTGTCCAGCCTGAGGTTAGAATCCCCTTGGGGGCGTGTGTCAGGAGCTGGCCTGGCCCCAGCTCGCCCTCGGCCTCTGCCCGTTGATGGATGTACGGCTGTGTTTATTTAAGTAAAGACATGAGTGTTTTTCTTTGTTTTTTAAGGTTCTTATTTATTAAATTTTTATTTTTTTATTTTTAAAATTTTTAATGTTTTATTTATTTCTAGGGGAGAGAGAGAGAGACAGCGTGAGCAGGGGAGGGCCAGAGAGAGAGGGAGTCACAGACTGAAACAGACTCCAGGCTCTGAGCTGGCAGTCAGCACAGAGCCCGACGCGGGGCTCGAACCCACGAACCGCGAGATCATGACCTAAGCGAAAGTCGGACGCTTAACCGACTAAGCCACCCAGGCGCCCCATATTTTTAAAATTTTAGAGAGAGCATGAGTGAGGGAGAGGGCCAGAGGGAGAGAGAGAGAGAAGAGATGAGAGAGAGGGAGACAGAGAGAACCCTAAGCACATCCACACTGAGTGCATGGGGCTCCATCCCATGACTGCGAGATCATGACCTGAGCCAAAGTCAGAGTTGGACGCTTAACCAACTGAGCCGCCCAGGCGCCCCTAAAGGTTTTATTGTAATTCTAGTTACCGTACAGTGTTAGTGTACCATACATTCACGTGTATGGTACAGCGACTCAGCACTTCCGCACATCCCCCGGTGCCCAGCACCTGTTTCCCCTGTCCCCTACCCACGGCTCCTCTGGTGCCCATCTAGAGTTAAGGGTCTGCCTCTTGGTTTGCTCCCCTCTCTCTTATTTTTGTTTCCCTTTGCTTGTTTTCTTCTTAAATTCCACATAGAGTGAGATCATGTGGTATTTGTCTTTCTCTCACTGACTGACTTTGCTTAGCATTTTACTTTGTAGATCCATCCGTGTTGTCGCAAATGGCAAGATTTCATTCTATATTATGACTCGTATTCTATTGTGTCTGTGAGTGTGTGTGCATGTATGTGTGTATGTGTACACACACATATATACCACATTATCTTTATCCATTTATCAGTCGGTGGACACTTGGGCTGAATATATGGGTGTTTGTATCCCTATGAATCAGCACTCCTGTATCCTTTGGGTAAATCCCTAGAGTGCTATTGCTGGGTTGTAGGGTAGATCTATTTTTAATTTTTTTGAGGAGCCTCCACACTGTTTTCCAGAGCAGCTGCACCAGTTTGCATCCCCACCGGCAGTGCAAGAGGGATCCCCTTTCTCTGCATCGTCACCAGCATCTGCTGTTGCCTGAGCTGTTCATGTTGGCCATTCCGACGGGTGTGAGATGGTGTCTCGGTGTGATTTCCATTTGTATTTCCCTGATGATGAGTGATGTTGACTATCTTTTCATGTGTTGGTTGGACGTCTGGATGTCCTCTTTGGAAAATTGCCTATTCATGTCTTCTGCCCATTTCTTCACTGGGTTACTATTATTTTTTTTATATGAGTTTGATAAGTTCTTTATAATTTTGGGTACTAACCCTATATGTGACATGTCGTTTGCAAATGTCTTCTCCCACTCCGTCAGTTGCCTCTTAGTTTTGCTGATTGTTTCTTTTGCTGTGCAGAAGGAAACGATCCTTTTTATCGTGATGAGGTCCCAAAAGTTCATTTTTGCTTTTGTTTCCCTTGCCAATGGAGACGTGTCAAGGAAGAAGTTGCTGTGGTTGAGGTCAGGGAAGTTACCGCCTGCTTTCTCCTCTAGGATTTTGATGGCTTCTTGTCTTACGTTTAGGTCTTTCATGCATTTTGAGTTTGTTTTTGTGTGTGGCATAAGGAAGTGGTCCAGGCTTATTCTTCTGCAAGTCGCTGCCCAGTTTTCCCAGCACCACTTGCTGAAGAGTCTGTCTTTATTCCATTGGATGCTCTTTCCTGCTCTGTCAGAGATGAGTTGGCTGTACATCTGTGGGTCTGTTTCTGGGTTCTCTGTTCCGTCCCATTGACATGTGTGTTTGTTGTTGTCCAGTACCAAACTGTCTCAGTGGTCACGGCTTTCTAATACTGCCTGAAGTTTTGGTTTTCCTTTTCAGGGTTGATTTGGCTATTCGGGGTCTTTTGTGAATCTGTACAGATTTTAGGATTGTTTGTTCCAGCTCTGTGACAAATGCTGGTGGTATTTTGATAGGGGTTGAATTAAATGTGTAGGTTGCTTTGGGTAGTATAGACATTTAAACACTTTTGTTTAATAATGCATTAGCATGGGATATTCTTCTATTCGTTTCTTCTTCAATTTCATCAGTGTTTTATGTACTTTTCAGAGTACAGGTCTTTCAACTCTTTGGCTAGGTTGATTCCTAGATATCTTATTATTTTGGGTGTAATTGTAGATGGGACTGTTTTCTTAATTTCTCTTTCTGTTGGTTCATTATTAGTGCATAGAAATGCAGTAGATCTCTGCACGCTGATTTTGCAGCCTTCCTGAATTCATTCATCAGTTCTAGCGGTTTTTTGGTGGAATCTTTTGGGTTGGGCATTGCCATTTAGAAGGCAGCTTCCATGTGCTCAGAGAAGCGGGTCCCCAGGTGGGCTGCCCGTCAGAGTCCTGAGGGGGCCTTTGAAACTCTTCGCTGTGCAGGCCAAGTGTGTCAGGAGCAGGGCAGGGAGTCAGGACTTGGTGCTTCTTACAGATCCTCTGGGGACTGTTTATTATTCAAGCCCAAAGCTTGGGAGCCGGGGCTCAGGATTATCCAGGTGTTTGTGATTTGGTTTGGTTGCTCCAGAAACTTCTCCAATACAGGGCAGGGGCACAGAAATGCCTCATTTGGGAATGGCATGTCTGAGAACGTTCTTTTCAGTGGAGCTCAATGACAGTGAAGCCAGTTTCCCGGGCTGGGAGATGCGTTTCTACTTCTGCGAAGGTGACCAGGAAGGAACGTCTGGTCAGGGTTTAAGAGCAAGCAGACCCCTCCCGTGAGCAGGAGCCCAGGTCTCCTTTCCAACTTCCAGGGACCACGCCGGCGGGAACGAGAAGCTGGTCAAGTTGGAGCCTGGGTTGAAGGTGTGCGGGGGCGATGACCGGATTGGGGCCCTGACTCACAAGGTCACGCATCTGTCTACACTGCAGGTGAGCAGCGAACCAATGGAAAGCACTCGAACAAGGCTGGCCTCCAAGCCCTAGAGGGAGGGGCGTGGTAGGGACATTTGCGCCCCTCCTGGCACTTCCCTCCCCTACCCAGGGGCCCAGAGGGCTTGGGCTCAGAGGGGAGGCGGCCTAACCAGCAAATGAGTGGAGGGCCTCTCGGGGCCACCTAGGCCTGGACCGTCCCCTGTGTCGGGAGCACCACGGGCACATGGTCCCAGCTGTGGGGAGAAGCTGACAGGCACGGTTCCGACGCAGCTGAGGAAGTGTGGAAATGCGGCGCTTGCTCGCACCAGGTTCTCATGTCAGCGTCACGTGTCCCGGATGTGATGACGATGTGCGGTTAAGTGAGAGGACGTGCCTTTCTAAGTTGTTTTTTTTATGTTTGTTTATTTTTGGGAGAGAGGGAGAGAGCGAGTGGGGGAGGGACAGAGACAGTGGGAGACACAGAATCTGAAGCAGCTCCAGGCTCTGAGCTGTCAGCACAGAGCCCGGTGTGGGGCTGGAACCCATGAACTGTGAGATCATGACCTGAGCTGAAGTCGGACGCTTAACTGACTGAGCCACCCAGGTGCCCCAAGGTTTGAATATTTTTAAAGTTGGCGGCGGGTGGGAGGCAGAGAGAGAAAACCAAAGGAAAGGCCAAGTACCTAAGAAGGAAGGCTGGCTTTTCTAGCACGACACCTGGTTCAAATTTGGCCTGATCTTGAGGAAGAAAGCAAAAGGAGCCCCTTTGCTTTTGCGCGCCAGTAACGCCCGGCCCCAGGGTGGGCCTTGCCTCCGGGTGCCCTCGAGGACGGGGTCCCACAGCCCCTGGCGAGACCCGTGTCCCGCTCAGTGCAGCAGTGGTGACGGGGTTGAGGGCCTGAAGGGGAGTCGGTGGGATTGGTGTTCCCCTTGCCCGGAGCCCTTGGGTGGCCTCCCTGGCACGCAGGGAGCACATGCCCGTGCGTGCTGCGTTTAAGGTGGGGTCACTCAATGTCAAGTGCCTGTCGACGCCGTGCCACACTTCTGGCCACATCTGCTACTTCGTGAGCAAGCCCGGGAGCTCCGAGCCGCCTGCCGTGTTCACAGGTGAGGAGCGTTGTGCTGCGTGTGCCGGGCGGGTGCTCTTTAAAAGCCCCCGTGACGCAGGGACGTCCGAGCGCTCGGGGCAGAGAAGTGGAGTGTTTGCAGCCGGGCCTCCCACCAGGGCTGGGGCAGGGGGGGCACGGGGAGGGGGCCGCAGCCCTGGGGGGCAGAGATGGGGGAGCCTGCAGCCCTCAGGGCGGAGTGTGGAAGGCTGTTTGGAAGCACCCCGGCAGGCAGGCCTTCCCAGCAGTCGGAGAGAAAGCGAGAGAATGTTGCTGCTGATGGGGGAGCCGGGTGGGGACCCGCTCAGCTCTGCGGCGCGGCTTAGTGGGCAGCCAGGGGCGGGCGCGGGTGACATAAGACGTTACCTTGGAGGGAAGCGCGGACCCAGCGTGGGGTGCATGGGGCCTCTTGGGTCCCCACAGTGAACACATCACCCCTCGTTGCCGCCGCCGCTCTCCTTGTCTCCTGTGCGGCGCGTCGCCAGGAGGTGTGGCCCTGAGGTGACGCCCAGCTCAGGCTGCGTGGCCCCGGGCTGGGGGCCTCTTCCGCCTGCGCCTGCGTGGGCCGGAGGCGGGCGGCGCCCCTGTCACTGCTGCACCCTGTTGACCCTTGGACGTCAGTCTGCGCATCTGCCGCATCTGCCGGGTGGGCTGTTGGGGGCTGGGGTGAGGCGGGTCCCTCGGGACAGGGCAGAGGGGAGAAGCCGTGTCCCGCTTTGGGAGGCGGGGCTGCCTGCGCGGAGACCCCGGCCCGAGCCCGGGCCCTACGTGGTGTGTGTCCTCCGTGAGACCGTGGCCGGCGGTGGCGTGTCCTCAGGGCGCGGCTCAGGCGTCCCCAGCCGGGACGGTGAGGACTCCGCGTGTGGGAACAGGGCCGCCTGGCAGGTCCCGGTGCGGAAGTAGGTGCCGCTCCTCCCTGCCGGGAAGGCCGGCCCGAGGCCTCCGCTGTGTGCGGCCCAGCCCCCTCTGGGGTCTCTCTGGCTTCTCGCTGGTTCGGACTCCGCCTGCCCGGCGGGGCTGTTCAGGGCCACAGCCCAGTCCCGACCGACTTGGACGTCCTGTCGTCTCGTGGGGGACGGTGCCGCACCTCGCTCGCCGTGACGGCCCCACGGTGGCCGCTCGTGCTGGGTTGCGGTCCCCGGGCCCCTGGGAAGAGTCTGGCCTGCAGCGGCGGAGGGGGACCCCCTGCCCCCGGGGCCTGGAGCCCTTCTCCAGGAGGAGGCCGGGAGGGGAGCAGCGGGGCGCGGGGCTACCCCTCTAAAGGGCCGAGGCAGGAAGGGCGCCTGCGTCCTGGGGGGTCTCCCGGCTGCCACTGCTGCCCGGGATAAGAGGAGCCTTAGGGAGGGGCGCCCGGCCGGCTCAGTGGGGCATGTGACTGTGGGTCTCCGGATTAGGAGTTCTAGCCCCATATCGGGTGCAGAGATGACTTGAAAGCCAAACCAAACCAACACAACTATAAGAAAGGAAACAGGAAAAAGAGGAACCTGGGGAGGCGGGGCCGGGAGGGACAAGGGCTGCTCTGGGGTCTCAGTGCTCCGGCCGACAGGATGGGGCCGTAAAGGGGGGGGGTCGGGTGACCCTAAGCTGTGGCTCTGAGCGGCCGTTAGCTGGGCTGCTGGTGCCAGTGAGCGAGACTTAAGGGGAGTGGTTGGGGGATGGGAGCCGATGGCGGGGCGTCTCTCTGGGTCCTGCCAGGCTGGCGGTGGTGTGTCCGGGGTGCGGCCATGGGTGGCGTAGTGGCCAGCGTCGCCCAGGAGCTCACCCCGCCCCTCGGGGGTCCTGTTGCTCCCCCCCCCCCCGCCCGCTTCATGGACATCCCGTTTTGCAGGCGACACCTTGTTTGTGGCCGGCTGCGGGAAGTTCTATGAAGGGACAGCAGACGAGATGCACAAAGCCCTGCTCGAGGTCCTGGGCCGGCTCCCTCCAGACACGGTAGGTGGTGCCCCCGGAGCCGGGTCCCACCCCAGAGCCCCACGTGCCACCTGCCAGGGCTTTGAGGCAGGTTACAGAGACTCTCTGACCGCAGTTGGCGTTTTCCCCAGAGGGTGTACTGTGGCCACGAATATACCATCAACAACCTCAAGTTTGCGCGCCACGTGGAGCCCAACAATACTGCCGTTCAGGAGAAACTGGCCTGGGCCAAGGTGAGTGGGGTGCGCTGGGGGTGCGTGACCGCGGGGCGCTTCCCGGGAGTGGCCTGGTCTCTGGTGCGCGCAGAAGGCGCTCCTCCCGGCCGGCCCCCTGCCCCGAGCTACGCGAGGAAGGCCCAGTTTCCCCTTCCCGACCCCACGAGGCCGGGCCGCTGGGATCACGCATGTCCAGCCAGTGCCCAGGGGAGGCCGGAGCTGTGGGTCCTGGTCTGTGCCCCACATCCTGGGTCACAGGGTGGGGGGGCTGCGAGTGAGCACCTCAGCCTCCCGTCGTGGGAAAGCGCACGCACCTGGCCAGCAGGCAGCAGGTTTGCCCCAGAGGCTGCTGGTCCGAAGACATTTGTTTCCGCACTGACCCCCGGGTGCTCAGCCTGGTGGCTTCCTGTCCTGCAGGCGTCTTCACTGGGGCATCGGAGACACTGCTTCAGGTGCGCGGGCTGAGGGAGGTGCTCCTGGACGGGAGGCCCTTCCCCATTCAGTCCCTGACGGCTGGTGTCACCCACACCAGGAGGCCCGTTCTGCTCCGTTCAGTGACAGGTGCTACCTTAGAGTTCGGTTTGTTAATAAATCACCTGTTTTTGTCAAGCATCTTTATCAGTTCGGGGCATGGGCTCCCAGAGTAACACCTGTAAGTGTTCAGATACTACCTTTCTCAGTCGATAAGCATGACCGTGTTTCTTTTCCAGAGCGCATAGGCGTAGGCAAGGCTTTTTAGTGATCTGTGTGCACGACACGTACTGTTCTGCGGTTTCTCTTTCATTTACTAGCGGGTCCTGCTGCTCTTTCTATAGCAGTCTTTTCATGTGGAACCAATTCGCTTCATAGTTACCTACTTTAATTTATTAAAAGATTTAAAAATTTTTTTAAGTTTTTTTTTTTTTAATTTATTTTTGAGAGAGAGAGTGCAAACAGGGAAGGGTCGGAGAGCGAGGGAGACACAGAATCTGAAGACAGGCTCCAGGCTCTGAGCTAGCTGTCAGCACAGAGCCCGATGCGGGGCTCGAACTGACCCATGAACCGTGAGACCGTGACCCGAGCCAAAGTCGGATGCTTAACCGACTGAGCCACCCAGGCGCCCCAGATAATTTCCATTTGATAAAACATCCGTTTTGAGTGAGCAGTACAGGGTCCAATGACTTTGACAGTGTGTGCACCTGTGTGAGGCCCCCAAGCCCAGTCAAGATCCAGAAGGTTCCCTTGTCACTCTGCTTTCATCCCCCAACTGCATATCTGCTCTCTGCCGTGTAGGTCACTCTGTTCTGGAGTGTCAGAGAAACAGAGCCATACAACCCTGGTCACTTCTGGCTCTTTGGCTCAGTGTTACCGTTGTGAGATTCATTCCTGTTCTCTCTTTCTGAGCAGTGCATCCATGCACCATGCTGTGTGCTGTGCTGCAGTTTGTTTATCCGCCGTGGATGGACTCTTGTGTCGTTTCCAGCGTTTTGCTATCGTAAATGGAGTTGGCGGGACCGTCCGTGTGCACGTCCTCGTGCAGACAGGTTTCACGTTGTGGGCTCCGATCTGGAGCCGCGCCGCTGCACGCGTGAAGCATCAGCTCAGCTTTGGAGAAGCTCTCGAGTGGGTTGTACCCCTTGGCATCCCTCCCGGAACGCACAGGTGTCTGTGGCTCCCCGTGCCGTATTGTCACTGAAACTTTCAGCCATTCTGATAGGTGTGTAGCCGTGTCTCCTTGTGGTTTGAAAGTTCCCATCGCTCTGCTGCCTGCTGTCCTCTTACAGGTGTTCTTTCCTGAAGTGTCTGCTCAAATCTTTGGTCCATTTAAAAACCTGGACTTTCAGAGTTGCAAGAATTCCTTATATATTCTGGAAACAAGTCTTTATCAGATACGTACCGCAAACATATTTTCCCAGTTTGCAGCCTGCCTTTGTATGTTCTTTTTTTTTTTTTTTTTAAATGTTTTGTTTATTTTTGAGACGGAGATAGAGACAGTGCGAGCAGGGGAGGGTCAGAGAGAGAGGGAGACACAGAATCTGCAGCAGGCTCCAGGCTCTGAGCTGTCAGCACAGAGCCTGACGCAGGGCTCGAACCCACAAACCGTGAGATCATGACCTGAGCCGAAGTTGGACGCTTACCCGACTGAGCCACCCAGGCGCCCCTGCCTTTGTATGTTCTTAACGGTGTCTTTTCAGGAATAAAATGTATCCTTTTGGTGCCATTCAGTTTATTGATATTTTCTTTTACATCTTTTGTGTCCTAAGCGATCTTTGCACACCCCTTGCCACAAAGACTCTGCTGTGGTTCCTCCTGCAAGTTGCATGGTCTTAGCCATTATGGTTCCACAGATGTATGCCCAGGCCAGTGACGCTGCTCACATTGATGTCGGTGTCGCCGGGATGCGAGGTGGACGTGCACTTGCTCTCACATGTAGGCGTCCACCTGCTTGGCGCCGTTTGTGGGAAAGATTGCCCTTTCCTTGTGGGATTACCTTGGGGTCTCTGCTAAATAAAACGGACAGTGCAGGCGACAATCCCTTCCGGTCTCTGCTCGCTGCTCCATCGAGCTGTGGGACTTCCCTTCCATCAGTTGCACACGGTCTCGATTATGTAGCTCGTGGGACATCTGGGGATCAGGCTGTATAAGTCCTCTAACTGTTCTGAACTTGGTTTTGGCTCTTCAAAGTGCTTTCCATTTCCCTAGAAATTTTAGGATCTTGGCAATTTTCACAAAAAAGTCAGGTTGGCTTTTGATTAGGACTGTAACAAAACATTGGGAGAGAACTAAGATCTCAGTATTGAGTCTTTTCACGAAGATGCTATCACTTTCCATTTATTGAGGCCCTTAGTTTTTCTCAGCAATGTATTACAATGTTCACTGCTAAAGAAACCGTGCATGGTGTTATTTTTGTACTTTGATCTTGTATCCTCATGACTTTGCTGAGCTCCCTGATTCCAGCATCTTTTTCATAGATTCCATAGCAGACAATCATGTCATCGACCAAGAGACAGACACTTTTTTTTTTTTTTAATATTTATTTATTTATTTCTAGGAGAGAGAGAGAGAGAGAGACAGCGTGAGCAGGGGAGGGTCAGAGAGAGAGGGAGTCACAGACTGAAACAGGCTCCAGGCTCCGAGCTGGCAGTCAGCACAGAGCCCGACGCGGGGCACGAACCCACGAACCGCGAGATCATGACCTAAGCGAAAGTCGGACGCTCAACCGACTAAGCCACCCAGGCGCCCCAAGAGAGACAGACAATTTTATTCCTTCTTTCCGGTTTATGTGCCTTTTATTTACTTTGGTGGCCTAATCGCACTGGTTGCGATCAGTACAGTGCTGACTGGAGACGGTGGGAAAGGACATGCTTGCTCTGCTCCCAGCCCGGGGTGGGGTGGGGGGGCGTTCAGTGTGTGATCAGTTAAGTGTTGTAGCCGCGAGGTCATTTGCCATCTTCTTTCTTTGGTTGATGGAGTTCTATTCCTGGTTTCCGGAGGGTTTTAATCATGAGTGGGTGTTGAATTTTGTGAAATGATTTTTTATTTTACTGTTAGTATGGTGCAGCACTTCAGTTGGTGTAATTTTAAAAATTTATTTTGAGAGAGAACACCAAGGGGCTCTGTGCTGATGCGGGGCTTCATCCCACCAACTCCAAATCCAGAGTCAGATGCTTAACTGACTGAGCCACCGAGGTGCCCCCACCCCCGGCCCCGGCCCCAGTCGGTTTCAAATGTTAAAGCAACCTTGCTTTCTAGACAGCCCTTGGTCCTGCTGTGGTGCGTTGCTGCAGTCTCTTTGAGTCTGTGCTCACAAGGGATGCTGGCCTGTAGTTTTATTTTCTTCCCTGTGTTTGGTCTTCGTATCAGGCAGGGTAAAGCTGGCCTCATAAAGTGATTTGGAAAGTGTTTACTCCTATTTTCTGAAAGAAAGAATTTTTCTGTGACATTATTTCTCCCTTTAATAGTAGAATTCACGAGTGGAGCCATCTGAGTGTTGAATTCTTTTTGCAGACAGATTTTGTTGCTGGAATTGAGGTCTTTATCTTGTACAGGGTATCAGATGTTTGTATCTTCTCGAGCCCATGTGGTTAGCACTTCTGTCTTTCAACTGTGTACACTTCGTCAAAGTTTTCAAATTTAGTGACACGCATTTCTGTTGAATGTCAACTTTGTTGAGGTTTAGCTCACGTGTAATAAACTGCATTAGTCTAAAGTGAACGACCAAGTGAATTCTGACAGATAAATTGACAGCACTAAGACTACCGTTACAAGGAAGGTATAGAACTTTCCATCCGCCCTGAAGGCTTTTTCGCGCCTCATTCCCTTCGCGGCTCCAGACCACTCCTGATCTGCTAGGTGCCACTGGAGCTTAATTTGCGCTTTTAGAATTTCATGTAAACGGAAGATACGTTATGCCTTCTGCTCTTTTTTTCACTCAGCAGAAGAGCTTTGAGATTCACTCCTGTCCCTGCACGTCAGCACTTGACTCCCTTGTGTCGCTGAACGATATTCCATTGTTTGCTTTATCCGTTCACTCATCCAGCCACAGACATTCGTGTTGTTTGCAGGTAGTGGCTGCTGTGAATAAATCTGGGCACAAGGCTGTGTACGACACACCTTTTCATTTCTCTTGAGTAAATCCCTAGGAATGAAGTGGCTGGGCAGTAGCAGGTGTAAGTTTGACTTGTTAAGAAACTGCAGAGTTGTCTTCTAAGCGGCCGTGATCTTACACTTGTGTCAGTGGAGTGAGTTGTGGAGTTCCACGTGCCCAGCAGCACTTGACATCGTCGTATGTTGTGATTTTGGTCATTTCAATGGGTATGTTGTAGAGTTTCATTGTGGCTTTAATTTGCATTTCCCTAGTGTCTAAAAACGTTGAATATCTTTTGATGTGCTTATTGGCCATTTTGTGCAGTGCATGTTAAAATATTTTGGCCATTTAAAAATGTGAATTGTCTTCCTTTTGATAACAAGAGAATTGTTTTGGTAAGTATATGCTTGATGCAAGTCCTCTGTCAGTTTGTCTTGTTCTGTGGCTTGCCTTTTATTTCCTTGACAATGTTTTTTGAAGAACACTTAATTTTGATAAAGTCCAGCATATTAACGTTTTTAGTGGTTCATACTTTTTGTCCTCTATCTAAGAAACATTTGCTTTACCCAAGGTCAAAATTTTTTTGTTTCATTTGGAAGTTTTACAATTTAGCTTTTACTTTTGGATCAACATGGTCCCTACCTCCCACCCCCAATCTGTTGGGTATGTAGTGATGTCACCTGTTTCATTTTGATGTTGGCAGTGTTCCTTTCTTGATCATTCTTATCAATTGTGTTGATGTCTTTAAAGAACAAGTTTTGCCTTTATTTTTGTTTTTCCATTGCACTGATTTCTGCTTTTTAAAACTCCTTCCTTCTACTTACTTTGGATTTACTCTGTTCTTTTTATAGATTTTTTAATATGGAGCCTGAGGTCATTGAGTTTAGACCTTTTTCCTTTTCTAATATAAGCACTTAATGCTAAAAACCCACCCAGAGCCTGCTTTAGGAAAAGCCCACAAATTTCTATATGCTGTATTTTTTTATCTTCAATTTGAAATGCTAAAAGAAATCCCTTGTGAATTCTTCTTTGACATGAAGTTATATTCAATTGTGTTCAACTTTGTTTTAGCCTTTTCAACATTTTATTTTATTTAACTTTTTAAAGCTTATTTATTTTGAGAGAGAAAAAGAGAAAGCAAGTGGAAGCAGAAGCGGGGCAGAGAGAGAGGGAGAGAGAATCCCCAGCAGGCTCTGTGATGACAGATGTGGAGCTCAGTTCTGTGAACTGTGAGACCGTGGCTTGAGTTGAGATCAAGAGCTGGATGCTTAACTGACTGAGCCGTCCAAGTGCCCCTCAGCACTTTATTATGGGACTTTTTACACCTATAGAAAAGTCGAGGCAGTTCCCTAGTGAACGTTCACATGCCCAACACCTAATTTCTATTAACCGTTTCTCTACTTATTTTGTGGCTGTCCAGCCACTTTTTTTTTTATTTTTTTTTAATTTTTTTTTTAAATTTTTTTTTTTATTTTTTTTATTTATTTCTAGGAGAGAGAGAGAGACAGCGTGAGGAGGGGAGGGTCAGAGAGAGAGGGAGACACAGACTCCGAAATAGGCTCCAGGCTCTGAGCTGGCAGTCAGCACAGAGCCCGACGCAGGGCTCGAACCCACAAACCGCGAGATCACGACCTAAGCGAAAGTCGGACGCTTAACCGACTAAGCCACCCAGGCGCCCCTGTCCAGCCACTTTTTTAAAAATAAGCACATTATGCTAGAGGATGGATGTCACCCAGAAGTCCTTCTATCCACCCAGTTAGGGAGGACTTTGGGTCCCCAAATTGTGTGCTCTTAGGAGCTGCGGTGGGCACCCTTCTGCACGACCCTTCAGTGTCTACGTGCTTCTCACTTCTGTACTGCTGCGCGTTAACACTCATTTTAATATTTACTTATTTTGGGGGGAGTGCAGAGAGAGGGTGACCTGACGTGGGGCTTGAACTCATGAACCGTGAGAGCATGACTTGAGCCGAAGTTGGACCCTTGGTGACTGACTGATTCACCCAGGTGCCCCAATACTCATTTTAATAGATAATCTACAAGCTTATAACCGTATGCAGTCCTCTGATTGCACGTCAGGATGTGTTTTAGAATCATCCTTAGAAGGGTTAACTGGTTTCCTTCCCTCATAGGAGGTGGAGAAGGAATTCTCAGGAGTGAATGTTGGAAGAAGTGGGGAGTATTCTAAAACACCCAGCTTGTTTTCACCAGAAGGGGAGGATCAGAGATTAGCACCAAGTCTGCACCTTGGCCTCCCACCAGACCCCTACTCGGCACCACCAGCAGCTGAAGGATCGCTTCTTGCCGCCCCTGCTCATGTTTGGGGGTGGCCCCGGGACCCTTGGGTCTGAGGGCCCTGTGGGGTCAGGAAACCTGGGTCTGGGTGCTGAGAGCTGCTGTCCACGCGCTGACCCTGTGGCCCTCGAGGTCAGCCCGGCAGAAGGAAGGGCAGGGGCGGCAGGGGCGGCAGCTGTTACCTGACGCCCCTGCAGAAGTCCGTAGAGGAGTGAGCGGTGCGCCAGACAGCGTCTTCTCCCATCTGCCCTGGTCGGCGTGGGTCAGGAGGGAGACCATCCCTGCCAGCGGGGGCCCCTGTGATGAGAGCCCGCCACCGCCTAGAGGGGCCGTCAGCCCAGGGCAGGGGCTGTGGGCACCTGTGCCCCTGCTCCCCAGCAGTGAGCTCTGCATGGCCCGGGACTGGCCTTGGTGCCGGGCTGGGGAGGTCTTCTCCGTTTTCTGCATCCCCTGGTTATTCTATCTTGTACAGCGCGTATTCCCTGTTCACGTGAGTCCCGTGTCCCCCTCCAGGACAGCGAGGGGAGGAGGGGCAGCTTGTCGTGGTGGCCGGGACACTTGGGTCTCCTGTCCTTGCACTGACCTGACCCTGTTCACTCTGCATTTTGAGCTGGACGATGTTTTAAGATCATTGGAAGGTACTTTGAAAACGTCCTTTGGAAGTTTCTGTGTTAACGTGACCTCTGCCCCCTGCAGGAGAAGTATGGCAGCGGGGAGCCCACGGTGCCGTCCACCATCGCCGAGGAGTTCACCTACAACCCGTTCATGAGAGTGAGGTGAGGGGCGCCGGCACTTGGGCCTCCCCCACCCCCCTCCCCCCTGCCAGGGGCAAGCGGTCCGTTCACCGGCCCCTGCAGCTCCGGGACGGCTGACGAGGCCGCGCCGGGTCTTTATCGAGAACCGTGCGACCCAGGAATCAGGCGGGTTTTCTTAGCAGGGGGCTCTCCTTACACGTGGCGGGGGACCCTTCTGACACCGGAGTCAGATGAAGGCGGGCAGGCGTGGTCCCCAGGAGTCTCACGGAGCTCTGCCACAGGGGCACGGCCGGTGTCCCCGGCAGGACGGCTTGGCCACCAGGTCTCCCCCGTCAGGAACACGCGAGTTAGCTGTTGGCTGTGGCACTTCGTTTTCGGAGAATGTCCCGACTTGTTCTGGCTCTGCTTCTGCGGGGCTGCGGGACTGGGGGGCCGTGGGGATGGGGGGGGCCCGTGCACGGCCTGCAGCCCGGCCTTCGGCTTCCGCAGGGAGAAGACGGTGCAGCAGCATGCCGGCGAGACGGACCCCGTGACCACCATGCGGGCCATTCGCAAAGAGAAGGACCATTTCAAGGTGCCCCGGGACTGAGGCGGCCGCTGCCGCCCCCACCTTCAAGGACATTTTGGGCGTTTGGATGTTTCAGGTGAATTTCCTGCCAGGACTGCAGGAAATTCAGTCTTGGTTTAATTTTAAATTAATTTCCGAGCCCTCTGCCTGTTTTACCAGATGTTCTAATGCATATTTATGAGAAGTCTAGAAAGAGTACTATTCCTGGACCCTCTGCCTGCAGACTGTTCTCTCTGGCCTTCGGTGGCCCCGTCCTCACCCCGTGAGCCTCAGGACACCCCAGGAGGGCTGTCCCCGCCCTGAACCCCGCATGCCCTGTGCTCAGCAGAGCAGGACACCTTCCCGTCCCCTCGCGGGTCCTATGGTGTCATGATCGCAGAGCGCTTCCGTGCAGACGTGGGGTAGCGCCCCAGCCCTGCCTGGAGCACCGGCTTGGCCTGGCCTGGGGCAGGGAGTGGGTCGTTGACAGGGTCTCTGTGCCTGGGGCCCGGGTGCAGGCCTCCGCCCGGTGATGCCGGTTCCTGGGAAGGCTGCCCAGGCCTGGGCCGTTCGCAGGGACAGGCGTGGACATTGTGCCCCATGGGGACAGAGGAGCTGCCCTCGCTGAGGTTTGATCCATCTGCTCTCTGCCCGCCCCCCACCCGCCCCCGCAAGCCTTCCTTGTGGCGGAAGTGTGGGCAGGCCGGGTCCCTGACCTGGGTGTCCTTGCCCTGGGTTCCCTCTACTTGTGCTCGAGAAAATCTTGAAACACACTGTCCAGGCCGTGGCCAGCTCCTTAGCCGCCGCAGGGCAGAGCCTGGCTGGGGGGGGTGGGGGGGGTGGGGCCTGCACCGAGGCTGGGGGGGGGCTGGTGAGAGGAACCGGGGGCGGGGCGGGGGGGATTGAGGAGAGGGGCCTGGGATCCCACAGTCACTCTGGATCCAGAGATGGGAAGGGGGAGGGGTGAGACTTGGGGTGGGACGGGCTGCTGTCCCCAACCAGCTCACGGTCTGCGCCTGGACGTCTTCCTCCCTTCCCGCCGGACGCTGTCCGTTTCACTCTGATCCATGACAACCATGCCTGAGGCTCTGCCTGGGCTCCCCTCCCCTCCCCTCCCCTCCCCTGCTGGACGGCTCCCAGTCACTGCTCCTCCATCCAGCCGTGGTTGTCTGCCACCACTCTTCTCGGGTCACCGAGGTCATCTGTCCAGGTCCCGGCTCTGCAGCTGCCCACGTGGCCACGGTGCCGTGTGGCTGGGGGGCAGTCACCCTTGTCCGAAGTGGAGGACGCCTTAGGTGGAGCCCAAGCTCCTGGGACCGGCAGCCCCCCACGCCCCCAGGTGTGTTGGGAATGGGGTTTCTCCGGGTCCTTCTAGATGCTTCATCATGTAGCTCCAAACTGCCACCTGGGCCTAGTGGCGTGGCCTCTGGGGGCACGTCATGGTGCTCTGCCATGCCTGTCGGTACGCTGTGGACCCATGCAGTGCCGCATCCAGCCGGGTCCTGCTGTTGCGAGCGTGAGCAGTTCTCGTGGAGCCGGGGTCCCCATGGCCACCCCCACCCTGTGGGGACGCGTTTTCGTAGTTCGCGTGCTCCGGACCGTACCTTCAGATGCCAGCGTGGAGAAGCAAATATGTCTGAGATGTACGAACACAGAAACGTGCCCCTCCACCCAACCTGCGCCCCCCACCCAGCCCGACAGCGGCTCCCTTTGCACATGCTGTCCTTGTTGGTGGGACCCGCTGGGCCCTGGCTCTGAAACACGCTCACGCGGGTCCCAGCTACATTCTGGCTGTGGAGACGGGACCTCTCCCCACGTGAGGACGTGCTGGGCCACCTGGGGGAGGAGTCCCCTCCGCCGCTCGCGGGCGCGGGCTGCCCTGGGGCTGCTCCACGGCTGGGCCCCCCGGGGGCAAGTGGGCGCTCCGTGGAGGTGTCACAGGAAGTGGCGGGCACCGGGGAGGCTGGCCCCCTGGGCTTCCTCTCTTCTTGGGCTTCTCATGTGTTCTGGGCTTCGCCCCTGGCTGGCAGGTGGCGGGACACGCAGAAGTGTGGCCGGAGGTCACCCCCAAGGGAACTGGGCCTCGTCACACCCTCTCCTCTGGTCTGGGGGACTCCACGCGAGTGTGTCAGTGGGAGATCCTTCCTGGATGTGGCCACCGGCCACACTCTCGCCTGCCTTGGGCGGGGCCCGTCTGCTTTCGGTACCTGATACGGTGACGTCGGGGTCCCGTGGCTCTTCAGAGTCTGCAGAGGGGACTCCGGTGTGAGTGGGTGCCAGAAACGGTCACGGGCCAGGACTATTTTTCTGCCACTTAGAGAGACACCCGTCTTTCCAACATTTTCTTTTTTAAACAATTTATCGCCATACCCCAGGTGGGCCTGGAACCCACACCGCCAGGGCCCAGTTCCACACCCACTGGGGCGGCCGGGCGCCCTCTTTCCAACGTTTCCTGACGGGTCTGGGTGCCCTCCTGCTCCCTGACCTGCGGTGGCTCCGGCCTCCTGGGCGCCTCAGCGGGGGGGGGGTCTCGGCCAGGAGCACAGATGTGAAGCTGGAAGCCGGCCCACCGCGTCCGGCGTGGGGCCCCGCGGTGTGGCCCCTCTTCCCGTCTTCCGGACACGCAGGCGCACCGAGGGGAACTGCAGACCTCCCGTCGGGCACAAGCACAGGGCCTGGGCGTTTCACCTCCTCGTCCCGGCTCCTGACCCGCAGCCGTGCAGCATTTCCCAGGGCTCTGCGGCTGTCTGTCCGGGTGCCGGCTGTCTGCCCTGCTGTGGTGCACGCTCTCCAGCCGGGAGATCACTTGGGTAGAGGTGACTGGGCCTAGGCAATCAGCACCGTAAACATTTCTTTACAAGGTGAGCTTCACAGCAGCGACCCAGGTGTGCACTTCCGGGGCCTTGCGGACATTCGTCGTGTAGCCCCCACTCCGTCCCCAGAGTAACCCAGAACTTATCACTCGTGTCAGTGACAGCATTAAGAGCAGAGGCCTCCCGGTCCGTCTCCTCCTGAGGATGCCCATCCCGGGCTGGGGCAGCAGGGAGCCTGGGAAGAACTGGATCTCAGCGGGTCTAGGACACGATCTGGTGCGGGGGCCGCAGATCTGGACGGCATGCTGGTCCCCGGGGCTCTGTCTGCATCACGGATCAGCCCTTAGCAGGGGGCAGGGGGTCAAACCCATCTGGGCTCCCACCACGGCCAGGTGGGTGTGCGGGGCAGGGGGGCGGGGGGACACCACATGCCGCATCTTCCTGCCCCGGCTGCCTGCTCACACAGGTGTCATGCTGTCAGCCGGAGCCCTGATGTCTTGAGCCTCTGCTGAGGCAGTGAGCGCCTCCTGCCTCCTCAGAGTGGTGTGGCCGCTTCTTCCTACTTACAGCGTAAGCAATAGTATAATTTAGAGATCGCCAGAAAAGTAAAAAAAAAAAAAACAAAAAAAAAAAACGTAACCGGAATGAGAGGTTTTAATTCTCTACAAGAGGCAGACCATGTTGATGAGGTTGCCAAGGATGAGAAGCCCACCTGTGTTCAGAACGGCGCACTCAGCCAGTGGCCTCGGGCACCGACCACAGCTCCGGCCACCAAACAAGTCATCGTTAAGTTTCAAGAGCCCAAAACAATACAGTAGGTTCTCCAACTCCACAGGAATTGGTTACCTGCGATGGAATGAAGTATGGGATGCACCCCCCCCCCCCATTTGGAGGTGAAGTAACGGATCTCTAAGCTCGTGGGTCAAAAAAAGTAAGAGAGGCCACCAGGGTTTGTTGGACACACGAAGCCCAGGGCCTCACGCACCTGCACAGGAAAGGCTTCTACCTTAAGAAACTGGAGAAGGGAGCAAATGAGACACAAAGGAATTAATTAGAAGAAAACAAGAAATCAGCGGAACAGAAAACCCAAAGCTTGGTTCTCTGAAAAAATCAAGTTGGCAACCCCACGGTGGCAGAACACAGATTCCCGAACACACACAGGAGACGGGGCAGGACACCTACGCTGTAAAAATAACCGTCAGGACCTGGCCAGGAATGCGAGTCAGCACCACTGATGAATTCCTAGACACAAATCACTTAAATGGACTCAGAAAGAGACAAAGTCACCACAGACCTGTATTAAGAAACTGAATTAATACACAGTGTAAAGTTCTCAAGCACAGGAAGAGCCCAGGGACGGTTTACAGAGCATCCTGTCAGTAACACCCAGCACTCACAAACTCCTGCAGAAAACACAGAGGGACGCTTCCCAGCTCCTTTACGAGGCAAGCCTAGTCCTGACAGAAGAGCTCAATGTCCCTCGTGAACCTAGATGTAAGTTTCGTAACCAACATGAGTAACCCAAACACAGCCACATCTGCCCAATCACTGAGCAGTTATCAGGGGAACATTGGCCGCGCATCTAAAAACCAACAAACGTCACAGCCCGTCTTTGGGGAGCGAAGGGAGAAATCCATGGGATCAGCTCACTGGGTGCAGTGAGACAATGGACAAAACCACAGCGAGGCTGTGTCCCAGCCCGTTCCTCCCGCCGGGGGCGCCCGCGTTCCTCGCCGCCTTCCTGTATATTCCCCACCTGCAGTCGGGGTCCTCTTGCTGCCTACACCCGCCCCCCCCCCCCCCCCCCCCCCCCCCCCCCCCCCCCCGGCTTCCACCGTCAAGGACCCTTGTAGCGACCCCGGTCCCTCTGGAAAACCCCGGCGAGTCTCCCTACCCAGGCCGATCAGCACTTCCGCTTCCCTAGGCCGTGGAACTGGCCACAATCCGGATTCCGGGGGAAGGACACGGGTGGCTCCGAGCACTGCAGCGCCTGTCAGAAGTCACGGTGACCGCCGAATGCTCGCCTGGACCGCCGGGAGCAAGGGGCGGGAGGCCTGCCCTCGCCTCTGTACGCCGCTCGGTGCTGGGCGCGCGGGAAGGCCCAACGAGGAACAAAGAAGCGGGTACGCAGGCCGGAAAGGAAGGAGCACACGGGTCCTTATTGCCCGACGGCAGGGCCCTGGGGGAGCGCACACCCCGACACGGCGTCAGTTAGAGAAACGGCGCGTCGCCACGTGCTAGCCACAGCCTGGAACCCCAGTTAGGAAGGTCTCTGTCGCAGCGCACACAACTGGTAACGGCACAGGGGCACCTGGGTGGGTCGGTCGGTTAAGTGTCCATCCCTTGCTTTCGGCTCAGGTCACGCTCTTACGGTCCTGCGTTTAAGCCCCATCAGGCTGTGCGACGAGCATGGCTCCTGCTT